TCTAGTGATGCAGAAGTAGAGAAAGATAGCAAGTTGTTCCTTGACAGAGATACCATGGCAGCTTCTAGAAAAACCACAGTCACATAGAATGGATACGAGGGCTTCAAATTGCTCTTTTTGAATGCTGAGGTTGTTCTTGATGTGCTGTGGATGGCCATCTAGCAGTTCATAAACCCAGGCTTCACTGGTGAGGATGGAGGTGTGATAAGGGATTGGTGTAGAAGCAGAAAAAAAATAAAAGCTGGTAGTAGTAGCAGGCATGGGCAATAAGACATGAAAGTAGGGCCAGAAGATGACATCAGCATGCAACCTTGTGTTGAGCATTAGTGTTGGTATCTGTAAGGACAGCATTGCATGGTTAGCACATAGATTGATATGCTCACATAAACATATGACACATGAGACCTTCCCACAACCTATGTCACATGACACCATGAGAGAAATTTTCTGTATCTTTTCTTTCAAAATTTTTCAACTGGCATTCTAAACAGGGCCTTAATTCTGTGTTGTTGTGCCAGCAAGGCTTTAAATGTCACCATTCTCACATTGATGACACAGTTTCTTGTTACCAAGTACAAGACTTCATCACAAGCCATTCAGTGTCATCATGGTCAGGGAGTAGCAACTGGGGCCAGAGCTTGTTGTCTGAGACAGCAGTTGACAATGTGCTACCTTGATCATTCAGTTCCTTGCTGGCATGCTCTTCAGCAGCACTCTGCAATTGTGTCCCACTGGTGTATGTGGTACTCTTCTCTCCAATTTGACATTCCATTGGTTTTGAAGAAATGGTTGCAAGCTTTCATCATCCTTGCAATTGGATCAAGTATCAGAGGTACTGTGCTTCCACTAGCTACCTGGTAACTGTTTGGGAAAGTCAGCTTCAAATGGAGCATTCATGCCCATAGTACTTATTATCACCTTTTCTGTCATCATCACCAACTTGGTTCATGTCCTTCATTTTATCAAAATGCTACTGTATTATGCATCAGATAGTCCCTCTGCCCACATCTCCCTTCTTCCAACATCAAGGAAGGCCTGTTCAATTGCTAAGCCTTTAACACCTCTGCATTTGTAAGGAAACCATCGCTGTGGGCAGAGTGCTGACGACGGTGGAGGAGAGAAAAGACGGAGCACGTCGCAGCACAGCCACTCGCGCAAAGACAAAATGTCGCAAATTTCTTGGGCACGTGATAAGAACCTTATAATACATGTTAAGGGTGGCTGTTCACACTTCCGTTATAAGCCATGCCAATGCCACCCATGTGTCATTGAAAGATTGCCAAAAATGGGTATTTGTACATAATATTTTACACATTTGCACTATATCTTAGATAAAATATCACATATTTGCTATAATCTAGCCAAACCTGACCATTATAATGGCAAGTGGTCCATTACATGCTGCTTACAATGGGGGCACGTGACAATGGACCAAATAAATTTGCGACAAATTCTATTGCTAGTCGTACCTCCTACGTACTAGAATCACTATTGGTCTGGATAGGTAGCTGGATTTTCCGCAGATTTCACGTTTTATTTTATTTCCATAACTTGTTCCTTGCCGACAGATTTTGGGCACTCAGCACCCTAACCTTAGTATGAGCAGTCGGGTCTTCCGCCTGGCCGTATGTGACTTCTATTATGGCCTCCTTGGTCGTTGTGCAGCAATGTGTGGGTACGCCACGAGGCCATTTGTTGGCTTGACCTCAAGTGCACTGGGACGGCTTGGCAGGGAGAGCGAATGCATGTAGAAGGTACGAGTTTGGCTTCCCCATGTCACAGTGACATCATTCTTATCATCGCCCTGGTCATGATTGACATGGCGATCACGTGTATGGTGAGTATACTGTCTCATTGGAGACTTTCTATGCTATGCTGGCTGTGTTTTTTTCGGCTTCCGGTGCGACCGGAGGGTCGCCACTTGGGGATGTGATACGCACCAAGTCTGGCGGACTCGATGATGTTGGATTGTACTCCGGCGGAGTTATCCTCATGGGATGCACACTCTTAGCCGTTACCCAATACCTGGCCACTGGGAACATGGGGTTGGGAAATTCTAAACAACATTCCGAGAGGTTCGAATAAACCTTTGGTTGCAAGGGAGCTTGCATCACAACACTGATCTCGTCTCCCGATTTCTACAGTCGGTACTCGTCTAGTGTATCCTAAATGCTCGGTGTATGGTTAGTTCTTTATAATATTACATAACACCTGTACACTCGGTTGGCCCTCTGGGCTCCTGTTTCAAGTTGAACGGAAAGGGGTGGTATCGGAGAATGCAGTACCTGTGGCGGTGAACATACATGTGGACCAATCAGGATCTAGTACAGTCTCGGTTGCTTCCCTGAGCTTACCTATTTTGAAATGTGATGAAGGCTTCGAACAGCCTGCAAAATGATGGGGATGATCCGGCTCAATTTACGCATCGCCCTGCACTTGCGGGAAGACCGCACTAACAGTATCCGATCATTCATGACACATGGTATGTCCGGTCAATATTCAATGGTGAAACCGTCACCACTGAGGTTTCCGTACCGTGAACTTAGTCTTTGTTACCCACTGGTTTGCTGTGACTCGGGTGCAAGGGTGTAGTGAGCGACATAGCCCGACTGCACCCCTCTGAAGATTTAAAAAGCTGGAAAGATGGTCGACGAGATTCAGAAACCAAATACCACCCAGTCTTTCCAGTCACAAAGCCTACAACCTTCTGAATATCCATAATGGTCTTCCACACTCGTGTTGCACTCGCTGAGGACTACGATCTCTCCCAGTCTCAGATTAATGAATACCAGAACAACGTCTGTCCCGTACTTGCGCTGAGCGGGGCTGTCTTTGCTGACCGAAATCTTCTAGGGTCACATCCTACTAAGGAATGTCATTCCCGAGATCGGAGATTGCTGAATTGCGCACTGCTGTTTTGCGAGCGCATGAAGCTCTCAAAGCCGAAGAGGAGGACTTCCAGAAGGCGTTCCGCATCACCCAAAACCTATGGGAAATTAACGACGTCGTGCGAGCACATGTCTTGTCCAAGCGTTACGCAGGTACGTTCGTAACCATTGGCCGCCAATCTCACGCTCACCTTGAAAAATAAGGAGTCGCTGCGAAGTTCTTGGGATGCCGTGACGTGCGGGTTTACCACGACCTCACCTTCTTCAAGGAGGGTCTTGGTAAGGGCAAACCGACACCATGGCACCAGGACGGGCACTACTGGTCAGTGACCTCTTTCTAACTTCTGGCCCCGAACATGCATTGAGCTGTACCCGTTACGACAGGCCCCTTGACACGGAAAAGTGCATAACCCTTTGGGTTCCGCTTCTCGATTGCCCGATAGACATGGGTCCGATGTCGTTCGTGTCGGGTTCACATCTCAATAAAGATGCTGAACATCTGCCGATTTCCGATGAGAGCGATGAATATATCAGAAATTTGGTAGAGAAAGAAAACCTGTCTGTGGCCCCCGCGCAACATATGAATGCAGGAGATGCAACATTGTAAGTGTCTCATTCTCAGCTGTTGGAAATCAGGCTTAGCACAGATGTTATAGCCACTCGTGCTGGACATACCATGCTGCAGCATCCAACACGACAGAAAACACTAGAATTGCATTCGCTATCGCGTACTATGATGCCGATGCAACGATTCCCCTGGAGCCACCAACCAATGAGCGGCGTGCGGCGAACTTGGCAAGGTGGTTCCCTGGTGCAGTACCCGGTGGGCCTGCGGCCACTGAAATAAACCCTGCTATCCTTTCTCCCCGTGATTGATGGAACATTGACACGTGCTCCTTAAGGCAGGCGTATAATTGAATTTCTTCTTTGAGTAGATATCCTGCTGGTTCAGAATTACTACCACATTAACTGCACTTCGGAGTTGGACACTGGCACATACTTTATAATATAGTTTAGAGAGTTTATGTAGCTTGTTTATAATGGCCCGCAATGCGAATTCCAAGGTGGTTATTTATGCGCCAGCTGAGACAACCCAAAGGCCCCGCCTCCATAGGCAGACTAAAAATTCGAATGAAGAGAATCGCTCACGTTCGACTCCAAGGGCATTGCTAGGAGTCCGGTCCCGGCTGGAATTCTAGAAAACTATGGCAGCAAGAAAACTGCAGAAGCGGAGCGAAGTCGAAGGAACTTAACGAATTTTATGTACAAAGCGTTTGATTCCACACACAGAGCGCTAAATCATGCTAATCACCATCACCACGTTGACACTGCAGAGGTTGAAAAAAAGTTTCCACCTGCCACGACCTTACGAGGTGATACTCAAATCCAACCTATTTCGCCGCCACCGCCTGAAAGCGACTGTATGCTACTGCTTCTGGTGTCTATAGTATCGCATCGTATCGTGGGAGAGGCAGCCACAAGGGTAGCGAAGGATGCAGGGCACATTGTGCATAACGCTCGCAATCCATGAATCAGTGACTAATGCTGTTGGGTTTGATGGGTGAGCCACGTTCGTCTGTAATAAAATGAAGTTTGACGACACAAGTCCAAGGTGTGTCTGCTTGTGTAAGCTTGCACTCCGCAGGACACCTTCTCAGCGAGCAAAAGCAACAAAGGGTTTCGTTCCACTGTACCCTGCATCCTTCACTACCCTTGTGCCTGGTACATACTGTTAGAGATATATTCTCCCCTGTGTTCTGCTCACTTTGGTGCGATGTTTGGGTGCTTACATAATCACCTTAGAGCGCACATTTTACAGTAGTTTATTCACTGTTCCCTCAGTAGCTTGTTGCACTACTGAGGGTAAGCTCACTTTCACTACCAGTATTATACTTACTGATGTCCTGTAGATACCTACAGGTTGGTCTAATACATAAGTAGCTTGTTGCACTACTGAGGATACCTACAGCATCCTTCAAAAGGTTATGAGCCCCACCTAGCACGGAAAATTTTATTGTAGGCCCACTCAGTGTGCAAAGTCCGAAAACAACTACTTGACTCTGCTACAAAGTTTCCAGAACACTCTATACCCTCAAGGCTATTGGATAAAGCATGGACGACCTACCAGAGCTCGCAGACGATGGACATAACTGGACAGCTTATGGCAGTTGGGTCCTAAATGCCATTGCAGATGAAGGCTTGATGGGGTTCCTACTCGGGTCTGAAACACGACCTATACATCCAGCACAGCTGAAAGGTCAAGGTGAGGGCTGGACACCTCAGACCAATGAGGAACGAGACGAGGTCGCAGCATGGCAAACCTCAGATGAGTTCTGGCACAAGCAGAGCTCGAAGGTCAATCTTCTATTGATCTTCGGAATTTCGGACTACATATTCTCATTCATACTCCATCTAAAAGCACCCCTCGAGAAGTTCACCTACCTTGAGAAGCGCTATGGCTCAGTTACGAGACCAGAAAGCTGGAAAACAACTGAGGAGGACGCGCAAAGTGATGACTTGCAAAATTGCCACTCACCCATACTACACGAGGCTGAAGCAACCTCTCAGTGAACCAGTGGCAGCCTTCTCGGCCAGTCAGCTACTCATGACAACAAAAAGGACAGCGCAGAGCTGTCACTAGAGACTGTAGAAGTCACGCCTAGTCAGTGCAGACAAGTCGAAGCGTCAAGCATCGACATACCTACAGCAGAGGTCGAACATGCCCTAAATGGGCACTCGGAGCTGGAGCTGGAGGGAGTGCCATGCGAAGCAGGCAGTGGCTCAATGGATGAACTTGGAGATGCAAACCCTAAGATGTCAAGTGGCTGTACAGATGAGACTAGCGCTACAGGCACGCGCAGTCAACTCGTCGTTGCCAACGTGACAAGGGATTTACATCTACTCAAATCCGGCAGCGAGACTTTCGATCTCGCAATCAATTCTACTAATCTCGAGAACACTCGTGCCATCAAAACTACTTCACAGATGCCTGTCAATCATGATCAGCACATCCGAACGTGCAGCAGTCTGATCGCCGACATACCTGACCCTCCATGCATCCATGTCACAGCTCCAAACCCATTCATTGGACAATCTGACCAAGTCTTTGGTACTTCGAACACAGAAAGGAAGTTAGCGCGAGCACAAACAGTCAGCAATGGAGAAATTACCATACCGCATCCTCACGAAGCCCAAACGACCCTTTCGGATCAGGCAGCGCTCACTAACAAGCCAAAATGCCTCAAAGATCTGCAAGAGGCTGAGCGACCCCACCCCGAATGAGATCACGTGCCTGCAGTGCGACAAGAGACCTGCAAAGGTCAGTGCACATGGAATGTCTCAATTGATGAGACCGGGGGTCTAGGTGAGCACGGCAGGGGTACCTCCCACTGGGAGGATAGTCAAGATGGTGGGAGAGCGTTGACGAAGCTGAAGATAAGAGCGATCAGCGTTCGAACGGCCGAGATACGAGATAGCTCACCAAATGTAGTTTTTCGGCCACAGGAAGCCGATGACGAGTGTTACAGTAGCGGGAAGGACGGCACAACAAGCAGCAATGCCGTCTGCTCGAACGGAGCAACAAAGAAGCTGCTGGCTGACATCTGAAGTCAGAACGTTCGAAAACGAGAGGTAGAACGGCCGAACCACTTACCTGCACCACCCGAACCCCCTCCGGACCTAATCGCACATATCCGTATACCATACAGGGCTCGACGTCGATGCGGCAGGATCAAAGTAGATCTACGAAGCGTCAGCGAAGCTCGCACGAATGGAAATGCACACCATACAACTGTGTCGCAAATTTATTTGGTCCATTGTCACGTGCCCCCATTGTAAGCAGCATGTAATGGACCACTTGCCATTATAATGGTCAGGTTTGGCTAGATTATAGCAAATATGTGATATTTTATCTAAGATATAGTGCAAATGTGTAAAATATTATGTACAAATACCCATTTTTGGCAATCTTTCAATGACACATGGGTGGCATTGGCATGGCTTATAACGGAAGTGTGAACAGCCACCCTTAACATGTATTATAAGGTTCTTATCACGTGCCCAAGAAATTTGCGACACACCTCACACTACGGACACCAGCATGCAAAACTGTTGGCTCCTGGTTAACCGTAGGCAGATGCAATTAGTGTATTCTATAATTGAGAATGCAGTTAAAAAGGGAATTCTGTCTGGTGGTTACAATGGACTCTGCTCACCAAATTTTGGTTGTTGCTGGTTGTTGTTGCTGGTTGAAGTAGAATACAAGGTTTGCTCTGTGATGTTGGATGGGTGAGCTTGGCAAATAATATGTTTCAATGTAGCTGAGCTGTAGGTTGAAGAATAGTTGGCCCACAGATTATTATGCCACTGCCTCAGGTTGTAATGCATGAATTCGTTGTCTATTCACTCATTTGGCTGCTGCTACAGATCACATATGAATGCATTATGGTACCAGGACCATGTGTCACACAACAAGCTGACAAACAGTGACAACTCTCAACTGGACATCATGCCAAGCAGAGTACATGCTGGGGAGGAGATCAAGGATGCACTCTCCAACAGCTGTGATCACATATGTGGAGTTGGATGCTCAAATATTGGGTGATGTATAATGAAAGTGGGTGTAATGCTCAATGTAGACAACGTCCTTTAATCATATGGTACTAAAATGTATGGAGTGTTGTGCTATGGACGACAGGAGATTGAATGGGGTACAGTATGGATGTAAACCATCAAACCATTTCTTGAAGGGGATCCTCAGCAGCCCCAAGACCAGCTGAAGTGATGGGCCCAGTGAAAAACCTGTCATCTGTGTGCACATCTTCCATGAATGGGTTGTGAATGACATGGACCTTGTAGCGATCTTCATCCTTGGCAATTGTTTCTGAGATGTAGCTAGAGCATAGGCAGGTGTTAGCATGACTGCTGTGTGTATGATGGCTCATATTCTCACCTGTTCCAGTTTGGTGTGGTCCATGAATCACCCCATTGCTTTCTGCATGCATCAAACCATTTTTCCACTTGCAACCAGAAATCCTCTCCCCTGGGGACACAGCCACCATGCTTTCACTTTTTCCTTTGAGGCTCTTGGGCAGAGTGGTGCCATGAGCCTGAGTCATCTTCCATTGGTGGTGAATCGTCCTCAACATCTTCCTCATGGTCAAGGAGCTCAGGATTTTCATAAGCAAAACGGCACTAACACACAAAATTAATACAAAAATTGTAATTGGTATGTACCACTTACAAGTATAGCAAGTCGAGCGGTGCATGCTGGTGTGAGGCCTGAAGTGGGGCCACCAATTTTGTACCGCTGCACACTTTCAAACACAAAATCAGAGAGTGTGCATGTTCCATCTCCAATGACACTATCTCACAGCTATGACAAATGAATCAATCAGGATGGAGTTGGAAACAGAAAATGAGACATACCAGCTCTTGGAATGAATTACGAATGCTTGAGCATTGCCACTTGATATATGCCATTAGGATTTTCTCTTGTGCTGGGTTACCATAGATATTTGTGAACTGTAATTCTTTTTGGGATTGCTGGACCTTTGACTGGTGGAATTAGAGTGACTTAGAATCAGTATATATGGTTGTGAACCTCAACGTCAAAGTGGATTGTCATAAATGTGATCCAGCTAGCCTCAAAAATTATGTCTCCAGCAACAATACAGACATTAGCCTACAAGAAAGAAACAGATGAATGGCTGAATTTGTGTGCTAAATAAACTAACCTTCTGTTCGTGTGATAGTGTAAATGTGTTTTCGAGTCAAATTTGCAGGTCTGCGAGAAGTTGTTGTGTGTTGCAGTGCACATTGGTCATTGCCTGGTTTTCCTTGATTAAGCTGAAAATGGCTGCAAGTAAGTATGAATGTGTAGCAATATCTGCTTTCTGGAGGCCATGCCCCATCTGCCAATGTATTAGTATTATGATTCTGTCACAAAGAGTTACCTGCCTTTGCAAAGCCATGGAGGTTATGCCGTAGGTCCTGCTCGGAATCACCAAAACTAAACTGATTGGCGAGGGCATCAATAAAGCGAGCTGGGACGACATCTTCATCCAGAAGGGTGGGATCAGTATTGGGATTGTTTTGAGCAGGGGGGAAGTGTGGGGTGGTGGGCAGGGTATGGGTGAATGGGGTGGCAGATGGAGTAGGAAATGAATGACTACTAGACTGAGTAGATGGAGAGTTCCTGATATTAGAAAAATTGAAAGACATTGAGGGTCTTGGGTACAGTAGTAGAAATGAGTGGAGTGAGTCAATGGACTGGGGGAACCATGGAGGGCAGCTGAGTGAGTTTTTATGCACATTGGAACCGAGATAGGTGTCCACATGTTCATCCACATGTTTCCAACATGGACTGGTAGGATCATCAAAAGGCTGTACACAGGCATAACAAGACATGATGGTTTGCACACCACATCCAAGAATGAGGCCCCTGCACTGGTTTTGCAAAGGTGTATCACAGTGCAACTCACAGTGATATGCTGACTAAGGAACACATGACCAGTAATATGAACAACACATCTATTAGACTTGGAGCATAATGGTAGCATCTACTATTTAATCAGCCTAATAGAATGCCCTGATGAGCTTGCCCAAGGTTGGGGGATATTGTTTGGGTATTGTGTAGATTTTTTATTGTCTATCTCACAAGCACAACCCTCCATAATTGCATGATCTGTGCTGAGTGGAGTTAGGGATTCACAAACTAGGGGCAGAATGTGCTTGGCATCATGCATTTTTGCAGTGTTTAGCACAAAATCATTTGGGTTTCCCTTGTGAACAATACTGGGGGAGGTATTGGATGTTCCCTGGTGAGCTGCAGCACAATTGTGGATATCACAACAATGCTGAAGGTTGACTGAGCACAGTAACTGCTACTTGAACTAAGTATCATGAATGGATAAATGTAGTAAACTTACCTCAATGGGGAGAAGTATATTGGTATCATCATACTGCACCAATGGCATCTGATAAGGTCTGGTGGACCCCTGTATTTTTCCTGACTGAAGAAAAATGGCATCTGGGGAAGATGTCATCTCTGCAGTTGACCCTTGCCTTTGAATAATCTCCTTCACCTGTGCAACCAGAGGTTGCTGACCATTCTGTTGGTGAATGAGAACCCATTGGCCTGGAATGCATCTGTCCCCATTCATCAAGATCATAGACCTGCATGTATGAAAATTATTGTCATGGAGTATTTCCTGGGAAAGGGAAGAGAGAGCTGTGGGGAATTGTTGGCCAGTCCTGGTTTCATGGTATGGATGCCAGGGCAGGTTGTCCTTTACACAAGATCCTGGCTTTGACAGAGAGGAGCTATCCATACCCAGATAATCTGTGATAATATTGGGTTTACTAACAAGTGTCAGCAGGGCTGTGCCTGCAGGCCACCAAACTCCAGCATCTCCAGCATTCAGGGCATCCAGAGGTGGCTTCTCAATCAGCTTCTTTATTTGAACTCCAAGGTTGGGGTGATTTGCATGGATGTGTAATGGAGCACCACTGAGAATGTGATGAATGCGGTTTCCATGAGCAAATGCCTTTGCAATGTCATGTGATGGAGATTGTCAGTTTGAGTGAACACTTTTGGCATGGATGACTGCATTGAATGACTCAAATCCTTCAGTGGCAAACAAGGCAGCAGGACCAAAAGGATGGATATGCTCTGGAAGGTGGAGCAATATATGAAATTTGGGTTTGTTGAACCAGTGAGGTGTCCAGCATGCAGTGCGAGCAAGAAATTCTTGAATTGCAATTTCAAGTTGTGTCTGGCACATGAAATAAGTCTTAAACAAAAGGGGAAGTTCTATTCACTTACCAAGTGAGCATCAACATCTTCAATTTCTGGTTTCCAAATGAGGGGGATCATTTTTGATAATGCTACCCAGGCCTCATAGCATTCTTGTGGAACAAGTCCATGGAGAACAAATGGTGCAGCCTGTGCTATTGCATGAAAGTCATGGCCCACCAATGATCCAGCATACTGGACAAGGGTGTGACCAGACAGGGGTGGTATCCCTAGCCCTGTTGTATCAAATGAAGACAGGTGAGCTTCAAGAAGTTCATGCTTTATTTTGTTCTTGCCAACCCTGATGTTCACCACATCTCTCCAGAAATACTTGACAAATCCTAAAAGAACAGTGTGCAGCACCTCCACAGGAGTGTCTGCATGAGGATTAAGTCCTATGGGGTTGTGAGGATTTTTTTCTTTGTGTCACATGTCAAGCCATTCACCTTTGATGCGCCACACTGGGCTATACACATTCTCAGGAAGTCCCTTGATGAACACATCCAGTGCCTCCTGCTTTGAACTGCTTCCCTGCTGCCTCTTACATGATGCTGCCATCCCATTGATAAAGTATTCAAGATATGTGTCTTTCAATCCAGTTGATGTCATCTTCTCCTTGATTTTGGTTTGATTCCCTATGGTAGATGCCATTGTAAACATTGATTTGAGCTCAATTATTGACTGCTCTCACTGGCAAGGTTCACCAATCTTGGTTAAAATTTTAAGTAGTTGCCTAGACAGTCATATGTGCCCATACCTTCAGAAATTCGCTTAATTCAAGAAACCATACCACTCATTGTCTCTTTCCCTTTTCCCTTCTTTCTACCACTAACTGACTCCCCCCCTGCACTCCTGACTGACCTCTGACCATCACTCTGTCCTCCATCACTCTGCTCCAGTGTTTCATCATTAGCATTTGTGTCCAAGTCTTGAGTGTCATGGCCTTTGACATTGCAAACACAACAGAAGTATTTTCCCCTCAACCCTACATGACAGGCAAGCTCACTTTGCATTGGATTGTCCCCCAACAGGGCTAAGACAGAGGGAATCATTAACACTTGCTCCTTGTGTACACAATCCCATGCCCATACACCTGTCTCTTGAGCAGCCCTAGAAAATATGTATAAATCAGAGTGAATACCAAAAATAACATAAACTTACTCAAGCTGATTTACAAAACCATCCAACATTTCAAGGGGTGGTGCAACATTAGATGTGCATAGGAAGTGAACATTGTATTCCTGATGCACTGCAGCATGTGGCAAGCCAGCTGGTGTGAACAGGAATGAATGGTGCTTGTTCCAACGTTTTGATACATTCCCTGAAGTATCATCACAGTAAAGCCAGATTGGAAAACCATAGACCTAAGCTCCATTTGCAAGCACACACCAATGATTTCCCTGATGTGGGTTTGTGAGTGTCCATGGTTCCAACAACAGTCCAGCCTGACAACTATTTTCAATTCCTAGTTGTTTTGAGTAGGACAAATGTAGTAGTAAAAGAAACATACCTAAGATATTGTGTGCAGGAGGGAGAACAGATGTTGATTGACTGATATTCCAATTCTTGAATGATACCAGTAAGTTTCTTTCTGAGATTTCAATCTCTGTGTGCCCCTCAACTATCCAACCACTTCCTGTGTCATTAACAACAGCATGAAGAGACCATGCCTTGGCAAAAAAAAGCCCTCCACATTTAAACCACCTTATAGGCATGCAAACCTGCCCATTTGACAAAAGGGCTGGCTCAAATATGAAAAAATCTTGACCATGAAGGCAAATCATAGGAGTCAGCTGTGTTGGATCCATTTCTTTTAACCACCTTCTGGCCTGGTATGCCTCATTCAACTGTCCCCCTGAATTTTCTGGGTAGAAGTGAAGTTGTGGTCAAATATGTGGGTTAGCCATCTCCTATATTATCATAATCAGTATTTGTCATTTATGGCAATGAACCACCAACCTGCCTGATAATGTCTGAAAATGAATTCATATAATATTGGTGCCCAAAAGCACCAGTGAAAGGCAAAGTTTCAATACCACAGATTTTTTGAAGGCCATCTTCAAGAGTCTTCATTGTTCTAACAGATGGTACATCTTGAATGCCATTGATGTGTAGTAGCCACATCAAGAGATCAAGTTGATGCTGTGAGAAGACAGAGCAAGGGATGTGCATCAAGATATCTATTGTACAAGACTGGAGTATTATTAGTGAATGTCAGTCCTCTCTGTTAATAGCTGCATACCAATTTGTTTGGCCATGGAAACCACTCATTTCCCTCAGAAGTAGTCATCTGTCCATCAGATTTCATTCCAGTATCCCCTTCTAAAATTCAGGTCAAAAATCACAAATTTGACATTAGCAGTAGTAACCCATACCATTTCCAGTCCCCATAAACACATTCACCTCTGATTCACTATCCAGTGTCTCCCCATCTTGCTCCCCTGGTCCCTCTTCATCTGATAATTTATCCTCATCAAGTAAGCTAGAAAGAGCTGCTGCAATTTGGGCATGGCTCTTCTCAAGAAGAGACCCCTGAAACTGAACCCCCCCCTCACCAAAGTCTGCACCAATGTATTCCCCAAAGCCATCCTCCACATTAGGGACAGATATCTCCTCAAGAATAAGGCCAATACCATGCATGGATTGATCATGGGTACTGGGGAACTTTTCACCATCACCTGGTACACAGCCCCCTGCATCAAAAGCTCCCTGGTGCTTAGAACAATGATACTGAACAGAGCTTAAATGTGTCTGTGTTTTTTCATGCCTCCTTGCATGGTCTCTTGAGTGGACTTTGTTGTCCCAGGCATGCCAAGCATGTCCATCCATTTTTTCCAACTTGCCTCCACCCTTTGAAAAGAATTCAGCACAAAAATACAGGGGACACTGTGATGACCTACATTCTGCTGTCTCAGCACTAGGAAATGAGTGTTCAACCATCAATAATACTTCCCCTGGAACACTCAAGATCAAGTGACTGCTGATGACCCTAAGAGTCAGATCTACAGTAGATAAGCTTGCTTACTGTCCCACAATGAATGTCAATGGTTACTGTGGGGTAGGCAGTATGGCTGTGACTGAATGTATTAGGCACAAGTAATTGACAATCAGCAGTAATTGTATACACACTTAAGTGTAGGTAGGTGCCAATAATATTGTGATCAGGAGGGGCCTGTCAAGTTGTTGTGGGCCCAGAGATGTAGTAATCATGATAAGTGATGCTTACCCAATCTACGGTACACAGATCCTGGTGCCAAAGCTCAACAGGTGTACGCACCGATGTTTGTCAGCTGTCTTGCGGGATATACTGTGGATGATGTCTGGATGACCGCTGGATGAATGTCAGATAATGCAGGTTCAATCTCCAAGTTGAAAAGTAGATTAGATGTACATACGCACCACTGATACACACAAGGGTGTTTGGCAGCCTCCTCGCTGGATGCAGCCTGGGTGATGTGCAGATGATTGCTGGACGAAATCCAGACAGTGCAGGTTTGATCTCCGAGTTGAACAGTGGATGGGATGTACACACTATCTGTGTGAGATGGCGCAACGTACATAGGTCACTATCAGTATTAGGATACTCCATCTGGGAGGCCATACCTGGGTTGTCCAGGATTCAAACCCAGGGTGAACTTGGTTTTCTTCATCAGACATCTATCAGCTTGTGCTATCAAGTTACGCCTATCATGCTAAATACAAGTCCTAGTATTACGCTCGTGCCAGTCATGGCAATCCAGTAGCTACGAGAGCATTTGATTCACATTTATCTGACTTTGAAATCACAGTTAAAAGGGGTGGGTTCAACCTGTGGCCATCCAACTTGCATTGCTGTGGACTCGAAGCTCAACACACAAATTACACTCGTTTTATTGGAGTATTTGGTACACATTCTTTTGAGTTCTGTTTTCTGCTATTCTACTTGTTCACACAGTGGAGCTTATGGGGGTGTGTTGGAGATATATTCTCCCCTGTGTTCTGCTCACTTTGGTGCGATGTTTGGGTGCTTACATAATCACCTTAGAGCGCACATTTTACAGTAGTTTATTCACTGTTCCCTCAGTAGCTTGTTGCACAACTGAGGGTAAGCTCACTTTCACTACCAGTATTATACTTACTGATGTCCTGTAGATACCTACAGGTTGGTCTAATACATAAGTAGCTTGTTGCACTACTGAGGATACCTACAGCATCCTTCAAAACATACACTAAGAACAGGAGTCGCATGGGACGAAGTGTATGAGGGGGACGCACTTGCAAGAGAAGGACACAGCTTGCATCCGAACCCCTATCTCATTTCAAACTCAGACACGAGAGCTGTAGGAACACATGTGTGTTGCTGGCGGGACGGGTTTGGGTTGAATACAAGCCAGAAAGGCGTCCCCATCCGTCTCAGCTATGTACTAGCAGAAGGCCGCATTGCGTCTTTCCATGCACTCTTCCATTTCAATTCCCCTCTCCACAGTTGTACATGGTCTTTAGGCGGTTTGTTTTCCAGGGTTTTTATGTCATTGAAACGTCGATAATCTGGCCTGATAATCAGTACTGTGAGTAATCAGTGCCATCAGTGAATACGTGAAGTATTGAATCCACACGACGTGTGTCGCCAAGCGGTCACCCGTTGTGTTGCCTTTTTGGGCTGTTAACATGCCATAACTTACAGCTTCGTTTTTACACCAGGCAACCAGCTGGCAACTTGGGATATAAGAGCAGTTCATGGCTTCCCCTACACCCTCATTACCTTCTCTTTGTACTGGACTTGACATCCATTCCGCAAGATAGAGGAGATCCTGGATTCAAGTATTTAAATTTCCTCAAGAGTTATCAACAACCGAAAACCTGTCACAGTTTGTCCCGACCACCGGAACCCCAAGGAAACCGGCACTCAAACGTCTCCTCCTTCACCTTGGATCCGCACGTGCAAATCATGCCTAGTGGTATGGGGAGGTCAGTGGGAAAAGCACCACACGTCATACTGGTTTCTGAGGGATATCGTTTCCTGCAGACCGTTTGACCCATCTACAGTGGTCTTCACCAAACCTACTCCGTGAGTGGGTTTTAGGGTTTTGAAAACAAAGGATAGGTGTCTGATAGATGCAGGAACCCCACCATCGCATACTTGCAGCACTTCAACAAATCGGATCACGCAAAACTCGAACAATCGTCTCTGTCATACGTGCCTCACCACTCGCCCTTAATCTCGACGTGATGAAATCTTTGATCCAGTGACAATCCCCTCGATCAGCCAATGAGTCCTACACCATTGCTTTTCGAGTAAGTGGTGTGAACATCTGTTCACGACAAGAATCCACCAAGATATCGCTCTAGGGAGGATGGCCTGCACAGTGTTGCCGAGTCAAAGTTTCGCTATACTGTCTTCGCTAACTGTCCCCTGCACATCATAAAGTTGCCGGATATGAAGCTCTTGGAAAGAAGTGCAGTAGTGAAGCATCTCGTCTTGACGAGACTCGAGAATGTGGTGCAGCAAATCAGCACAATGGAGCAACAAAAACATTCAAACCCAACTAATCTGGCCACGATGGATCAATATACATGGTGGGAGGTGTGCAACTCTGCCATCGGGTGAATGGGTAGAGGAGATCACAAAATTTGCCATCCTGTCACATACATGGGAAGCGGACGAAGTATTGACAAATCCAGTAGTTGCAGAACTGGATGAATCGATCCGTTCAATGTTCACATGGTATCGCAATGCACATGTTTGCATTGTTTATGTGGGCCAAGCACAGTCACTGCTCGACCTCGCTACCAATCACTGGTTCACGCAAGAGCGGACCTTGCAGGAGCTCCTTGCGCCGTCACGATTAAAGTTCTATAACAGGACTGGTATCTGCTTACTGACTTCCAGAACGACAAGATAAGTGACCCGGATGTCAGAAAACTCAGTGGTGGAACCTACTCTCTCCAGTCCCACTTGCTTCGTAAAGCCATCTCGACCGCAACTGGTATTGACATCCATCATTTTCTTAACTTCAAACCTGGATTTACGAGCCCACCTTTACCACAACGCATGAGGTGGGTTGCCCGAAGAATCACCATGAGAGCGGAGGACAAGTCACATTGCATGATGGGCATATTTGGAGTGAGCATGGTGGCGGCATATGGGGAGGGGTCCGGAACGTGCATTCTTCAGGCTCTTCCAGGCAATTCTGGAAGTAGGATATGCCTGCAGCTGGTTTTTGTGGAGGGGAAAGGCTGTTTCATCCCATATTCATCCTTTGCGTATGATCCCCTCTGGTTCTGAATGCTATTTATCTAGTGATTTCCAGATGGACCATCAGGATGCAGCAGGGCTTGGACCTCTCGATGAGCCTCTCAGCTTAACCAACGTAGGTTTTCTGATGAGGCTGGTGGTCATTCCTGCATGCGTCGGTTACTCAGCTAGCTACCCCGAGTATTAGCGTCCCAGCAATATCCACATTTTGTGTCCTCTATCCGATGACATTGTTAGGGTGACAGGTATCCCTATTAACTGGGAGGGGGAGGCTGGCACTGGATTGGCAGCGACAAATATATATGCGCTCGGTATCATGAACTTCTACTCGGAGATGGACGATATTTGCACACCCAAGCACCTGTATTCCGTCCTGCTGCGAAGCACAGTTGGCAGTGGGCTGGCGGCGTTCGGTCAGAAGCAGCGAAAAGTTCTCACGAAGTGGGAAAGGCAGGAAATGAACAAAGTGCTTGTATTTCGTTGTAACGACAAGTTTTGCTGGATGGCTCTCAAGGATTGGTCTGTCACGATATCGAAGTCGAAGGAGTGGGGGAAACATAACGATGGAGTAGGAGACCACCTAATGCCAAACACGCAACGCTGTATTTGTGATATAGAGAAGGTACCAGTGGGGTGCTCATTAACATTATTGTTATGCCCGAGCGCGGTGACTTCTTCAAATGGAATAGGCACGAAGCGCACGAGGTGGGAGTCTATGGGCCGAACTTGTCATAACCCCTATGGCTGAGTTATTGCGAAGATCTGACAGAGGTCTTGTCTGCTGGCGAGTCCCTAAGGTTGTTCGCGCGGAGAGAAGACAAGGATCGAAGCAAAGTAATTAGCTCAGTTGCAAGCTATCGAAAAACTGAGGATACATGGTAAAGTACGTGGGTTTAAATACCCCTAAGTACGAGTACCCTACCAGTCGCGACAGACGCGTCGCGACACGTATCTGCAGTAGTCAACGAACTAATCTTTGAAATAAATAAGAGTCATCTGGTGTCAGTGATGGGGGTAGTAAAGGAAACGAAGGCTATACTGGCTGTGCAATCAACTGCGCAGCAAGGAGCCAGACACCGGAGCTTTATAGTATCATACAGGCAATATAAGTGAGTCAGAGAAAGCGGACGGACCCAAGAACAAAGCATCTACACAACCGGATCAGAAGAGCGGTGAACGTCACGGACGGATCACAAGTGATGAGTCTCGACAGGTATTGGAAATACCTGGACAGCAGGTGATCCGAGTTCTCCCTTAATCATCCGAACTCCTAAGACCACGACGAGTACCAACGACGCAACAAGGCACGTGACACACGTGACCACTAGGAGCCGAAAAAGGTAAGGGGCTTGAAGAAAGCGTAACATTACCCCCCCTCTAAGGTCCTCAGACCCTTGAGGACGACCCGGAAGTCGTGTTAGGAGGACGGGTGGATAGGGGTCTGCGAGTAGTATAGACGCGGGAACGCATTCTATTGGCGATGGAGATGACGGCTCCTCGAGGGCCGGAGTAAAGCAGGAGCCACGTCCGTTGCGGCACGACCAATGTCCCAGGTAACGACACTGGAAGCAGGTGTGCTGGTACAGCGGGTGGTCGGGGGGTACCGGGGACTGCCCTCCGAGATAGTATCGAAGTTGATCCGCAGGGACAGGGACGAAGGGAGCTGCAGGGAGAGGGTTGGCAGCGTGGATGGCATTGAAGTAGTTTTTGTGGATGCCAGCCCAAGACGCGTCCTGTAACAACACCTCCCAAGCGGAGTTGTGAGTCCCGGTTCCCAGACGAGCACTGACCTCTTCAAACAACTCTCTGGAATCAATGAACCCTAGTTCCATCGCGCGCCACATTACCTCCTTCTCCTGATCCGTCTTTCCTTCCTTTACCTCGGCCTTAACGGGTTGCGCTTCTTTCGGGATTATACGATCAAGAAGTCGGGAAGCAGGTGGGGCTAGGAATTCCCCGATTTGTTGTTGTCGTAAGTGGTGATAGGCCCCTCCGGTGATTGCCTCGGTAAGATCCGATGATGCCTTTTCAAGCATATCGATCATTATTACCTCCGAGAGCGGGGCTGTTCCTGCTAATTTCCGAGTTCTGATCTTCGACACCAGCCCGTTGATTACGTCTGATGCTCTGTAGATTTTAGACAGCATCCCAAAATACATAACTTGTTCTGGTGTGCACCTGTTAATGTCATCCCCGTCGTTGAAGACGTCAAGTGCCTGAACAACGTCCAGGTATTCAGACGCTGGGATTGGTAATCCTTGCTGGTCCATCCGGGCAGTGGCAGCTGCGGCAAGGATGTCGAGGGCCGCGCGATGACTTCGGTCTGAGTATGTAGTGAAGGCGGTGCGTAGGTGGGAAGATTCGGCAGCATGGGAGCTACCGCTGGTGGTTCCTGCGTGATCGGTGTCATTGTCAACCCACTCCTTACCCTTTCCCTGTTGGTTACTGTCCTCCTTTGTGAGGACTCTGGCCTTGGGGGCGGGGACACGTCTGACTGTGAAGTTCTGGAGTGGACGCGGCCTGAGAGGGCGGGTGACAGGGGGCGATACTGGACGACACTGGGAGACCGGGGACGAGAATCCAGACACATAAAAGCCGGTGGGGGACGTTGGAGGTGAGGTTGGGGCATAGATACTGACGGGGGGAATGAGCCCGTCGTTGTCGGCATCATAAAAGGATTCTGTGGCAAGGGGGAGGTCGGCATAGTCGTTCTCAGTATTGATGGAGCGAGGGGAGTCCATTTAGTTTCTGAGGTGTCGAGCGAGCTTGTACTGGTCGAGGACTTCTTCTGCGTGTTCTTTTAAGTTGTCCTCGGGTTCCCACGTGTTTGACGAATGGGGGAACCCTTTCCACTTGACCAGGTACCTTCGTTTACCGCGACGACCATCAGTTTTGTGATTTAGTATTGACTCCACCTCCCATTCGATCTCGTCGTCAACCATTTCCAGTAAGGGGGCTGCGGGCGCAGTCCCATATATTTCGTTTTCAATGAACGGAAAGATCCGCGAGCCATGAAACACCAGATGTACCTTCCAGGTCGGGGGAAGGTCCAATTGGAAGGCTACAGGCGAGACAACCTGAGTCACCTCGAAGGGTCCGAGTCGTCGGGGCGCAACCTTGTCGCACTGGTTTTTGATGCGCAAGTGGTTAGTATCCAGGAGAACCCGGTCTCCGACCTTCGGCGCAACATATACCCCTTTTGAGCGGGCCTTCATTGACTCCTGTGCCTTTTTATGGGCCAGGATGGCGACATCCTGGCTGGCGGCGAGTCTTTCCAGTCTTTCTTCTACCGAGGGGACCGGAGTGAGCCTAACCTCTGAGTAGGGTGATGGGTTGTATCCGAGGAGTAAGGAGAATGGCGTCATTTGGTGTACCGAATGGATTCTGGAATTGTGAGCGAACTCGGCCGAAGGTAACTTACTGCTCCACGAGTTGGGGAACTCGGAACAATAGAGTCGCAAGTAACCTTCAACCTCTTGGTTGACATGCTCGCTCTCTCCATTCGTCTGTGGGTGGTAACCGGTAGACAGCTTTGGTTTTACTCCTATAGCCTTGTAGAGTTCCTTGGTAAACAAGGAAGCAAACTGTGGTCCGTGATCGGAGATCACCGATTCCAGTAACCCAAACCGGGCGTAAATGAAGCGGTGGAACAGTTTTGCCAATCCTACGGAGTCAATTGTCTTGTGACAAGGAACAAACAGGGCAGCCTTGGACAGCCCCTGATCAATGACCGTAAGGATAGTGTCGAATTTGTCATCTCCCGAGACGGGGAGGTCCATAATGAAATCCATCGAGATCTGTTGAAACGGGAGAACCGTTCCTGGGGTCTCGTGTGGCGTTACCGGGGGTTTTGGAGGGTGTGTAACAACCTTGCTTCCTTGACAAGCCGGACATCCGGCGACATAGGCTTTGATGTCCTTTCCCATGCCATCCCACCACACCTCCTTTCTCATCTTCGCAGACATGGCCTTTTGTCCTGGGTGGCCGGAGGACTCGTGGTCATGATATGTCCTCATACAATGTTGGCGGTGTTCGGGGGGGATGTACAACCGGGTAGTTCCGAAGCGTTTTGTTCCGTCAGCATCGGTTGTTACGTTTTCTGTTGCTTCCGGGCCAGACTCCTTTTTGGAAGCGGTTTCTTTAATCTTTTGATACATCTCGGCAGAAATGGCCAATACGCCCCTGGCTCCTTTGGTAGGTTCCTCAGGTGGGCGAGCTACAGGGACCCCTCTCTCCTTTGATGTTTCCTCAGTCGGGCGAGAGTAGGGTTTTGTTTTAGATTTTGACTGCTTCATGCGAGCTGGGAGTCGGCCCATTCGTACTAACTTGTTGTCTTTTTGTTGTTTTATAAGTTTTGTAAGGGAAAAACCCGGCGAAACGAGGCGAATTTGAGGGTTTTCCACCCCCTCGGAAAGCCAAAGGTCCGGGGGAAGGACCGTGGCCACTGGGGCAGGTTCGGCGACCTCGTTTTTGCGGGACAGGGTATCCGCGGGGACCTGTAAGCGTCCAGCTTGCCAAGAGAAACAAATTGGGTAAGACTGGACCGTTGCGGCCCAACGGGCCTGACATGGTGTGAGCTGCTGAGGCTCTCGGTAATATTCAAGATTTTTGTGGTCGGTGAAGACCACGGTGGGTTCGACGGGGGAAAGAAGATAGGGGCGAAACACTTTCAAAGCCCGGATGACGGCCAGCATCTCCAAGTCATAAACTTGGTAACGCTGCTCAGCACCTGCAAGGGATTGAGAGAGGTACGAGCATGGATGCCATTCGTCATCCGTTCCTTTCTGAGCGAGTACAGCTCCAGTTCCGAGCTTGGAAGCATCGGTAAATAGTGCGAAGGGCTTCGAGAAGTCCGGGATTGCAAGGACCGGCGCCGAGCATAACAAAGTTTTTAGTCTTTCGAAGGCATTGTTACACTCTTCGGTCCAAGTATAGGAAACTCCCTTTTTGGTCAAGTCGTGGAGTGGGCGAGCGACGCTTGAAAACGAGGGGATGAACTTTCGGTAGAAGTTGCAGAACCCAAGGAAGCGACGAAGTCCTGTAAGATTGTCAGGGGCTTCCCAGGTTCCGATCGCATCTGTCTTCGTTGGCGAAGTCTCCATGTGACCTTTCCCGATGATCATTCCTAAGAATTCTATTTCCTCGGCCTCAAAAACGCATTTGCTAATTTTGAGGCGAAGACCTTCTTTTTGGCAGATTTTCAGGAACTCCCGTACATGGCTTCGGAGTTCTTCCTTTGTTTTTCCGCGAATAGCGACGTCGTCCATATAGCCAACTTGTTTTCCTCTTTGACTCTCAAAGGTTTGGTCCATATACCTTTGAAAGGAAGGGGGTGAGTTACATTGCCCGAAGAGCATTACCGTCGGTTCGAAAAGTCCTCTCGGGGTGATAAAGGCTCCCTTCCATTCATCTCCTTCCTTGACTTGGAGGTTGGTGAACCCCCAACGAATATCAAACTTAGCGTAGTATTTGGATTCGACCAACTCGTCGAAGAGTGCCTGAGCATTCGGCAATGGGTGTGCATCCTGGATGGTAAAAGAGTTGAGATATCGGTAATCTTGGATTAGTCTCTTTTTCCCATCCTTCTTTGCAATGAAAAACACCAGCGCTGCTTGAGGCGATGTCGATGGTCGAATCTTCTTACACTTCAAGTTTTCTTCTAAGAATTCGTCTAGTACCTTGAGTTCATCCGGTGCCATAGGATATACAGCCGCCTTCTTGGGTTTGAAGTCATCTTTGAGGCATATCTCGTGATCCAACCCAGGTCGGTGGACAGGCAGCGGGATGTCTTCCTTGGAAAAGACTTGAGCGAATTCTTCATACTCCTTCAGAAGTAATACTTCCTCCTTTGTCGAGGATAAGGCAGCCTCGAGTTCTGTGGATAAGGTAGTCTTGTTTACTGAACTTACTGGTGGTTCTCGAACAGAACCATCCTCGTTAAACTTGACCGCATACCCTTCGTAATACGGGACCTGACTGTGGATATAAACATCAGTTTCCCGAGTTGGTACGTACCCATCATCCCAGCAGGAAATTTTGTTGTTCTCCCAATCCATCCTTGGTTTATAAAATCAGAGAAAGGGCATTCCCAAGAGGATGTGTTCTTTTCCAACGAGGGGACCGACATAACATTTGATCCGTATTACGTGGTTCTTGATAATGACTTTGATGGTAACCTTGCGGGTAACCCATTCAACATCTTTTCCCGTAAACGAAGTGGTTTTGAAGCGTTGTTTGACGTGGTAAGTCGGGATTTTCAGTTTTTGCACGATTCACTCCGAGATGAGCGAAACCTCTGCACCCGAGTCGATGCAGACCATTACTCCTGCTCCGTAGTCCGGCAACCATACTCTTCCCAAAGGTGAACCAACTCTCATTTTCGATTCATCATCTATGGTGGTAGTACAGATAGCGGACAACACTGAAACGGGACCCACATGAGGAGTTGCCGTGGTCCCTGTTAAAAATCCTTCCCATCTAAACCGTATGCCTTTAATTCGTCGGCCATTGCCAGACGATCTCCCATGTAAGCAACTTTCTTCCCATCGTCGGAAAGAACAATTCGAACACCGGGAGAGGCCTTGGTCTTCTGGGATTGACAATCACGCTTATAGTGGCCCTTTTTGCCACACTCGAAGCATGTGACGTCATCATTTGATCAGTGTACGTTTCGCCTTCTTTTGTCGACGTCCATCGCATCGGGATCTCGGGAATTTCCACGGAAGTGAATGTACTTCCGCTCGTACCTGGACTCCTTCCCTTCTAGGATATGCTTGGTGGCGATCGCGGTTCTGGCTTCTCCCGCACACTGGATCCACTCGATTACCATGGCTGGTGTGCGTCCTGAATTAAGAACCCAATCGCGATATTCCTTGTTGAGTCCTTTCCCAAAGAAGATCCCTGCTTCACGCGACTCTTCTTTCAGCTGGGCTTTATTCACAAGTCCGGTGAACTCAGCAATATAAGCCTCCAGTTCTCTTTTGCCTTGCGTTATATCGGAGAGACGTAAGATAGCGAGCGCTGTTTGATTGCCGGATTCGAAAGTGGCTTTCAAGCGTTCGACGAACCTCTGGAATGTATCGGAATACCAGATAGTGCCGTCGAGTAGCTTGTTTTCATTTTGGTAATTTTCGGCGAAGGTTACGGCTGCTCCTTTCATCATATATGTTAAGGCGAAAGAGATCTTGAGGGATTCCATGTTATAGACGTGTTTGTTCAGGTTGAGATAACCCTCGACTTGTGTAACCCAGGTTTGAAGCCCGTTGTGGCTTCCATCGTATTCTCCGGGACGCCTGACATTAAACTCCCTTCCTCCATTGGGTGGGCGGACATCATACAAGTCATCGCCATCTTCGGCTCGGGCCTTACCCTTACTGGACCCACCAACGGGATCCTCTGGGGGAATTACATTTCCGAAACTTCTGGCGTACCACGCTCGTAGAGCCGAGTCCGTAGGCATACCAGTTGGGAAGGGATCACTCGACTGTCCCTGACCAGCTATCTTGTGCCAGTCAGCGGCCAAAGAATGCATCCATTCATCCAACTTCTCCTTCAGCTCCTCTTTGGAGTATACCTTCGTCGGCATCTCAGGGGCTGATTCTCCGTGACCGATCGTCATGGACATTACGGGTGATTTGCGTGCTTCCTGTTCTTCTTTGAGGACTGATCCGAAAGAAGTCTCGGACTTCTGATCGTCTTCTTCTTCTGAACTAAGCGTGACTTCCAATTCCCTAAAACGGGATAGATAAGATAACCTAGGATTACTTGCTGTGGCAGACGGCCCAAGTCTTCCTAGCGGGATTGGCGGTAAAGGCGGGTTCCTACCAAGTCCTTGCGGTATACGCAGGGGAACTGGTGGTCTCGACTTCTGAGGGTTTGACACTTTGACAGATAGTGACAACGAAGGCTGAGGGAGGATTTATTTCTCGAAAGAAACCTGTCAGCGTAGGGTTTGCGTGCGCGAGTCGATTTACACATAGGGATCAACGAGCACTGACTCTAGGGAGGCGATCTATTAAAGCCTAATGGCTGCCTGTAGAGCAGTGAATTTGATTGAGGGAGGCGGGGTGCTTCTCAATTTTGTTATCGACTTGTTGGGGTCGAGTTGAGAGGCAGGATACGAGGCGAGTTAGTCTTTACGCGTAGGGAGACCGACGAGCCTGCTTTAGTAGTTTAGAGTTGGTTTGTTGAAGTTCAGTAACCAGGGACGAGTAGACTTTCGCAAAGAGGTCGACGAGTCCCGAAAGCTGCATTGAGTTTTTCGATTTTGTTATGCCCGAGCGTGGTGACTTCTTCAAATGGAATAGGCACGAAGCGCGCGAGGTGGGAGTCTACGGGCCAAACTTGTCATAACCCCTATGGCTGAGTTATTGTGAAGATCCGACAGAGGTCTTGTCTGCTGGCGAGTCCCTAAGGTTGTTCGCGCGGAGAGAAGACGAGGATCGAAGCAAAGTAATTAGCTCAGTTGCAAGCTATCGAAAAACTGAGGATACATGGTAAAGTACGTGGGTTTAAATACCCCTAAGTATGAGTACCCTACCAGTCACGACAGACGCGTCGCGACGCGTATCTGCAGTAGTCAACGAACTAATCTTTGAAATAAATAAGAGTCATCCGGTGTCAGTGATGGGGGTAGTAAAGGAAACGAAGGCTATACCAGCTGCGCAATCAACTGCGCAGCAAGGAGCCAGACACCGGAGCTTTATAGTATCATACAGGCAATATAAGTGAGTCAGAGAAAGCGGACGGACCCAAGAACAAAGCATCTACACAACCGGATCAGAAGAGCGGTGAACGTCACGGACGGATCACAAGTGATGAGTCTCGACAGGTATTGGAAATACCTGGACAGCAGGTGATCCGAGTTCTCCCTTAATCATCCGAACTCCTAAGACCATGACGAGTACCAACGACGCGACAAGGCACGTGACGCACGTGACCGCTAGGAGCCAAAAAAGGTAAGGGGCTTGAAGAAAGCGTAACAATTATTGTTTCTGATTGCTAACGTTCCCCACTACAGCCCAGCTGATAGCTGCGGCCAGCAAGTTAGAAAAGCTCGTTAGCATTCAGTCTTGTGCAGGAGGAGGTTGTTTTGTAAATCGTTTGTTCCCATCTAGTATCAGTCCTGCTATTCAATGCTTCCGAGAATATTTGAGAATATTTATATTATAGTAAGGGTATATGCCAGTTACATCGGATACCCTAGTTTCACTGCAGGTTTCACGATGCGCGCTGCATCACTCACCACCGATAATCCAATTCGACATCTCTGGAGAGAAACATGCAACGTCGCGGCACAGCTCCCCGAATTCTTCACTGCAAGTACTCCATACCACTGGAAAGTGATATAGGTGATCACGGGAAATGCAGATTAGTATGTATATCTGGGACTGGACCAAGAATAACCCATCCTCATCATCCCATAGGTGGTGTAGGCGTCACGCACTATTCCTCTTCTGTCGAGTGGAACTGCATCAGCAAATCACGAGTTTACTTATCCTTACTTGACAGCTACTTAACATTTGCTTATCATACCAACTGCCAAGCAGCCGTCTGCTTGGATAAGTAGATCCTTCTGCTGGATACTTACTTAGCACTGCTTATTTTTTACTTAACGCATGCTTAGCTTATTAGTTTCTTACTTGAAATAATGCTGGTTCTGTTCTGTCAAGCAGATAAGCAGCAACGAAGTGCAATTAATATCTGCTAAGCACATGCTAAGTAGCGGTGAAGTAAATTACGCAGCAGTAAGATCGAGGGATTGAAAAACATAGACGAACTAGCGATAGCAATTGGGAAGATGTATTAGAGATCCTGTTGTGGACTCAGTGGATCGTATAAGCAGTAGGGAATGAAAACCTACAGATAAGTGCATACTCATTGTCAGATCCTGCATCACTCAACAGCTCGGGGTCGAGTTCTTGCCCTATTGCAAGCGAAGCAAGGGCGAGCTCTACAATGGCTTGAAGCTGAGCAATAGATCTTCTTTTGGCAGCCCCCGTAAACTTCCTCATTGGGGCTCCCCAATTCTGGTCTGAAAATGTGCACACAGTCTTGCTATCCTTGCCCAAAGTCATGTTGTATTTGATGGGGGTCCACACAAACCTCGTTGCCACTTTGGCAATACCATCTTTGACATTGATGGGGGACTTGAGCTCGACGTCACCAGATCTAACGAGGTTCAAGCCACGTGAGAGCTAAAAAACTAATCAATACTGTAGCTATGAAAATGACTTGATAAATGTTACCACAGCAGCACAAAGTCCAAGAGCACCAACAACACCATGCTTCGCCAAAGATGAAGTGTCAAGAGCAGGGACTTGAACGTATCCTTTGGTTGTGGTCAAATGGCTGCTCAGCAGCAGCTGTTGCACAAAAACGGAGTGGAAGGCCTTCTCAGGAACAGTTGTGTCGAGGTCTTCATATAAGAATGTGAAATGATCGAGTAATACTTTTTCAGTGTCAGCAGGCGATGGGTCTTGAGGATTGAGGAAGAAAGCTACGAGTTGTGCAACAGCCGTGGAGGCAAAGCCGTGCCTCCAATCACACAAGTGTTGAGACACCTATGGCGAACACGGTCAGCTACAGATGAAGTCAGAATGAAATGGACTTACGACAGAAACCATGGGCGAGCTGGGAAGAATGCTACCTGCCATGTTCTTGAGTATGGGGTATACGACTGGCATGATCTCCTGTAGAGCCCCACAAATATCTTGCTTGGCAATGTTGAATGCATCCTCTTGGTTTCCGGCCCATAGGATTAGCGTCGGAATAACTTCCCTCTTCCACTTCTGATCTTTATGCAGATCTGAGGGGAGATCCGAATTGTTGAAACGCACTTGCGCAGGGATGGTCTGCACTTGACTCAACGAATCGCTTGCTACGATAGATCTCTTGCTAGTAGATGTGGCTGATAAGCTGGACATAGAGTCGCAAGCTTGTATCTTGATCTTCTTTGGCATGCCCTTTGTAACCATGACATGCGACTGAAAGAAAATAAAAGATGAAGGAACACAGAGAAAGGTGGTCAGCACATACCTTGGCCATGGCATTCTTGTGCCCCAAAACACAGATGGCATCATCTAGATTGTCACAGTTATCATCGACGGCGTTGCCCTCAACCTCAGAGGTCGAGACATATTCCAACTCGGCTACTTTCCTCTTGATGTTGGTGAGTCTGGTGGCAGGATCATTGGCCTCATACTCCTCAGCCATTGTGGCAGCGCACTGAGACTACCATTGCATGAGTAAAAACCATTTCAGCATGAAAGATACTCAACGATAACATTTTGAAGAGCGGGGACGTCCAAAGCCAGAGGTCTCACTGGCCCGCTAGCTTCTCCATCTTTGCAATCAGGTAGCAAGTCGAAGTTTTCTGGTAGTTGGGATTCGAACTCGTAGTTGTATTGGGGATCATTTGGCAGTGGAGAGCCGAGATTGAATACACGGAACTCGACATCGGTAGTACTTGTAGCGAGGGTACTCGTGGATGGAGGTGGTGCAGCTGATGTGCGAGGACTGGCACTGGCACTCGAAGATTGCGTAGAGCTTGTGTCGACGATGTTCACCCAATTTTTGACACGCTTAGATAAAGTCAGTTTATCATCAGAGCTGGCAGTCGTTAGGACATTTGCAAAGAAAAGAGTTGCCTCAGTTAGGAGGAACATGTTAAGAAGTAAGACACACATCAAACCAGTACTAGTGCTGATGCTATTGTCACGTGTTGATGGCAGGGATACTTTGTTGCACGTGGAGATTATCGCTTCATGCAGCGATTTTGCTGTTGCTGCTTTTGTCCCTTTCCCCTTCATCACTACAGGTCCAGCATTGTCTTCCACATCAGCTAGGGGGGTAAGTGGCTCATTCATCCCTACAAAAAAAATCAGCCTCATGTTTTCTTGGTTAAGCATGATAGATACTGCCATCACTCTCATTTCTTTGCCTGCCAACAGCATGAGGACAAGGACAAGGACACGGCTTGATGGGCTTAGTGCCAGCGGCGACACCACTTTGGTTGACCTCCATTTCATCCTTGATTTCACTGATCCATTGATAACCTCTCTTCAGCGCTGCAACCTTTTTGGCAAGGGCTTCCTGGGTGCGTTCATTGTTAGCTTCCTTCTCCGTGCTCGTCTGTCTTCTCAGTTGGCTGTCAAGGACGATCCTACCAGGATGCATGTTAGCCACCTGGCACTTCGGGTGACCACTCGCAAGTGTCTCCTGTGGGCACTCCACGGCCGGTTGGTTGTCCATATCTCACAGTGCAAAGGGTCGTTGGCTGTGCGTGAAGGTGGAAGACGAAGAGACAGAAGAAAAAAAGGTATGCCCGCTGCCATCTCTTTTGGCTTAGTTCGATTCTATGTTCAGTTGGCAAATCTTTGCTGTCCCACAGTAACTCCCGTTACTCATCATTTTTCTTTCAGATATGATTCCCTGCATGAAACCTGGCTGCCATCGATGGTTCAGAAACAAGTCGGGCCTAACCCAGCACATCAACATATACCACCCAGTATTTCTGCCTATCAACATCCCTGCACAGGTAGAACAGCCAGATCAGGTACCATCGCCTGAAGAGGAACAATTCCAGTTCCGACCGGATGACGACAACTATAGTGACCCATCCACAAGCCCTTCGAATCCAACCCTTCTGGCAGAGTTTGTTGGACAAGGCAACAAGTATTATCGGAACTATCACCCAAACCTCACCAGTACGCAGTATGGGTGAAAAATTAAGTATTTACCAATGTATTATTTGACAGGGCAGCCTTGTGATTCGTCTGGAAACCCCCTCCCAGTTGGACAGTCATCCCCACAAACTCCTTCTGAAAAGCAACCTAACGATTGGTCACCATACTCCAGTCATCTGGAGTTCGAGCTAGCTGACTTCCTGTTCACCTGCAGCCAGATGTCTGCAGCCAATATTAACAAGTTACTAGATCTCTAGAATGCGACACTTCTCGGCACTGGCAGCCAGCCCGTCTTCAAAGATAGCACTGAAATGTACAAGATGATCGATTGCACTATACTTGGTGATGTACAGTGGGAGAATTTTTGCATATCCTATACTGGCGAACAACCAACTGATAATGTCCCATCATGGATGAACACTGTGTACGATATTTGGTTCCGGGACCCTAAAGACATTATTTGCAATATGCTTTCCCAACCTGATTTTTCAAGAGACATGGATTACCAGCTGTTTTGGGAATATGAGAGCGCGACGGACAAGAGACAGTGGGAGGATTTCATGTCTGGTGATTGGGTGTGGACTCAAGCAGTGCGTCTTTTATCTTCTATGTCTCTGAGCGCTGTACTAATGGCATGCAAATAACAGGACATAATTTCTCATGATTCAACCATGCATGGGTCAACCTTCATTCCAATCATCCTTGGCAGTGACAAGACGACCATGTCAGTTGCAACCGGTCAAAACGATTATTATCCCCTCTACCTCTCAATAGGTAACATGAGCAACAAAGTTTGTCATGCACATTGCAATAGTGTCGCTCTCATTGCTTTCCTTGCAATCCCACATAGTAAGTGCATCTGATAGATACATAGGAAAGTAATGGCGCTAATGAGAGATATACTTGTAGCTGACAAAGAGCATGCATCCACTGACATGTTCCGACAATTCCGCCACCAACTCTTTCATTCGTCACTCACATATATCCTTCGAAATCTCGAGCCTGCGATGACCAAACCAACTGTTATGTGGTTTGGTGATGGACACTATTGCCACGTAATTTTTGGACTCAGCCCTTATATCACCAATTATGAGGAACAAGTCCTTCTGGCATGTATTGTGTGAGGGTGGTGTGCAAAGTATGTTTTTCTACTTTCCAACTCTTACTATCAACTAACTAGAATCTCAGATGTCTTGCGATGAGGCAGGAACTTGATACTGATGCACTTTATCAGAGTCGCAAACATGCAGAAGCACTGATCGAGGAGTTTGATCTCAAGACCTTACAGGATGCGTATGGCATTGTGGGTGATACAATTGTAAGTATTGTTTCACTTAGATTCCACTGTGCCTGTGTCCTGAAAACCGATTTCAGCTGTTCACCAGCAGTTTTCCCCGTGCCAATATATACCAACTCATCGCCCCTGATATACTACACCAGATCATCAAAGGGACGTTCAAGGATCATTTGGTCGAGTGGGTTGAAAGCTATTTGAAGACCGTGCATGGCACAACAAAGGCGAATGTGATCTTAGATGATATTGACCGGAGGTACATCTGCTTTAATTTACATTTCTTTCTTTCCTCATGTAGGATACCTTAGAATTGCGGCTGTCGCACCTTTCACAGGGCTCCGTCGCTTTCCCGAGGGCCGTCATTTCAAACAGTGGACTGGTAACGACTCAAAGGCACTAATGAAGGTAATTTTAGATCAGGTTGTTTATACATTCTGTTGTTAATGTTCGATACATAGGTGTATCTACCTGCCATTGAGGGGCATGTACCAACGGAGATTGTGCAAACATTTCACGCTTTGTTGGAGTTCACATACCTGGTCCGTCGCAATGTCCTCACTGAAGAAACCTTGGTTGCAGTTCAAGATACCATCGACCGCTTTCACAAGTACCGGGAAATATTTCGCCAATCAGGTACCATTCAAACTTTTTCCTTACCACACCAGCATGCGATGAAACACTACCCTGATCTTATACATTTATTTGGGGCGCTGAACGGACTTTGCACATCAATCACCGAATCAAAGCATATCGATGCTGTGAAGGACCCGTACCGGCGGACCAATTGTAACAAGCCACTGGGCCAAATGCTCATTATCAATCAGCACTTAGATAAGTTGGCGGCCTCTCGAAGGGATTTCAATGAACGAGGGATGCTAGAGGGAAACTGCCTCATGGCAACTATGCAGCTCCTTTCGACTCAAGGTCGGTCATTGGATGATCATATTGATTTTCATCATATTCACATGAAGTAAACAGATGGCAGAGAGAATGGCAGTACATCACAGGTCCTAGGTTCTGGTCCCCATAATGAAGACAATGGTGAGGCTGTGGACTGCCCAACATCCATAGAGGTGCATGTTGAACTCACTCACACCACCCGTATGTACCTTATTAACCTGAGTAGTGCAGCGGCTCACAAAATCAACCTCTTGCATTCAGAAATGAAGCGGGCCAGAACCGTGACAGATCTTGCAATCGAGCTTGGTCTATCATGTCTCCCTACCATTCTGGAGGAGTTCCTGCTTCAACAAGCCAACGCTGAAGACTACTGCGATCTCTGTGACATCCCACTATCTGAGCGCCCCATCTATGGCAACAAAATCACCATCGTTAATTCTGCAGCTGCACTATTCTATGTGCCAAGTGATATCAGTGGTATTGGTGGCATGCGGCATGAGTATATCCGCTCGTGTCATTCGTGGCAGAACGGGCCACCCCGGTATGACTGTGCATTTGTGAATATTAATCCAGGGCTGAAGGGGATGCATGGTTTGGATGTCGTGCGTATCCTTGGGTTTTTTTCCTTCATTTCCCAAAGCAAGCGTTACCCATGTGCAGTAGTGCAGTGGTTTGACCGTGTCGGGGATGACCCAGATGTGGATACGGGGATGTGGATCGTACACCCAGCCCTTACTGCAAATCGTCACCTGGCCACCGCTGTCATACACGTAGACACCATATATCATGCAGCACACCTCGTCCCCTTGTACAGCACCCACCCCATTCCCAGAACCATAAAGCCGCATCATTCTTACGATGCATTTACCACCTTCTACGTGAACAGATTTATCGATCATCATGCATTTTCACTTTTATCAGATTCGTACTTGTAGTGTACTTGATTGTATGCTCAAATTCCATAGTAACTTAGCTGCTTGGGATGCTTATCTACCTGAGTCGCACTTAAACATTCGCCAAGTTACTTAGCGGTCATGCATGCTTGGCAATGTGGGTGCTTAACATGCTTATGCTACTTACGTGCTTGACAGGTGCTGCTAAGTGGTCAAGCACGGTTAAGCAGACTTATGATTTGCTGATGTGCCTGGAACTGTGGTTCGTGACAATTGCACCATACGGTGAGAACGCTCCAGGTGTCTAGGCTGCAGGAACACTGGTCGATTCTTTGTGTGTGGATGGCAGTCTAAGCACATTTGGGAACTCTGCGCCGTCGACTAGGTTCGCATCTTGCTGTCAAGTGCGGTGCGAGAGTTCAGTGTTGTGGACCTAGTCCATGTCTGGCGTTCACCAGAAGCAGCCAAAACGACGCTTCCTTTCACGTAGAGTCGGTCATCCAACAATTTCCGGGATTGATGTTCAGCTGATTTTTAAGTGCTGCTCTTCCCGATTCGCAGCATATTCCTCTCACCCAAATCCCTGATCTCAATCAGACGTTTCCGCGAAGCCGGACTGACATTTTCCAAGACCCCCGACACCACGTTCCACTTCACGACTGGTCGAGACTACCAGATCACACAGGAACGTATGTGCCCGCACCACGGTGAGTCAAAATAAACGAAAGTTCTCATAATTGCACAAACAAGTCTCAGCCGTTGTCTATATACTAGTGTACACCTTCATTTCATTCTTATTGTGATGAGTCGACTGTGGAATTGCTGTACGGGACCTCACGAGGACCACGAGAGCATCGTCAACGCGTAATCCCCGTCTTGGGACATCCACTCCTGAACTGGATAAGCCCCGGCAGCAGTCCACAACACCTGTCGCTCGACGCGGTCATATTTGTGGGAAAAGGCGAAACGGATGTATTCCCCTTCGTGGACAAGGATGGGTGTTTCTGATGGGATCCTGACTTGTGTATCTTTAAGGCAGCGGAAGTAGGCCTCGTTCCGGCCCTGTACCTGTGAGACACGTAGTTAGTGCAGTGCTTTAGCTTAACCCGCAGAATTTTACCTCGTTGTAATAAGGATTGTAATCAAAACACGAGACATCCACGACGTCAGCATTGAACAGGTCGTTAATGTTACCCAATGCATTGAGAGCAAAGCGACGAGTGACGCCTGCCCTGTCGTCATACGCAGCGCGGATGTCGTTGAGCTTGTGGTTTTTACTGTCGATGGCGACAATAAAGCGATCCCTGGGAGCCAGAATATCCCCGAAGGTGCGAATGAACTGGCCAGCTTCCTCTGCAAATTTTCGCTTCAGTTAAAGAGCACGTACGGAGAGGGTATGGAAGGAATACTCCGGGACATGTTGCCAACAGAAGAGCCCAACCATAGGATGATCCTTGGACGGTCTTTGACTTGCTTCAGCCAAGTACAACCATCATCGTAGGTGCCCCACAAGCCGGCAAGGCTGACATGGGTATAGCGACCCTTCACCTCCGCAAGAGTTCGGAGCAACTCCGGCTTATCCAAGTCAAGCGCGAAATACGTCACATCTTTCCCTTGAGCCTCTAAGGCATCCAGGATTAGAGCTGTTTTGCGGAGGGCGCTATGGGACGTGAGTGGCAGGAATACGTCTATCGAACCGCCGACAAACTAACCCGGCGCCAAGTTCGAGGAGGATTGCACCGTCAGGGACGGAATTGGCGATTTGGTGTGCGTGGCGAGATAAGATATCGATTTCTAACCTGGTGAGGTAGTAGTCTGGTTGGTAAGTGATCTGTTCGAACAGACGCAGGCCCTCCTCGTTGTACAGCAACATGTTTGGGAGCTCCTTCTCATTATATGGCTTAGTGAAACCAGAAAGTACATTGGCGCGAATACCGTCCTCCAGGGCTGCGACTGTGACGGAGTGCGCGGTGGATCGTATGTCAATGATTGGAATGGTTGCTTCAAGACCTGGTGAGGCGCCAGGTCTGGAGCCTGGGGGGATCGGTACAGGTGAGGGTGAGGGGACGGGACCGAGCATACTAGCAGTGAGAAAGTAGTGACAAGTCTAAGGCAGCTTATGGGTAGAGTAGGCTTCGAGGATCCTTTATAACTGGACAACAACTCTTTAGCGCGCAGGTGGCTTGATGGACATGATGGAACCACCCCAGAAGGCTCCATTAGTGCTAGACATGTGTTTGAGTCAAAGACGGAATCCTGCTGTGTACTTACCAGACTGGCATAGGCTTGCTTGGGTAGATATGTCTCCGCGATTGATCCATTATTGGGAATCCCCTCTATTTCTGGAGGTTCACGGCGTTGACCCGAGGATTCCCTTTCGGAGAATCTGAACGGAATCCCGGAGGAAAATTATTTCCTGCGAGCGGCGCTAATCACATCACATATGCCGTCCGTTTTCACCGCGAGCTAATGCGGTTTCGCGAGACCACGCCATGCGGCTATGAAGAGTCAGCCCATCGTGGACAACTCTGTGCTCGACGATGCATGACACATACTGACGGAGCCTGGGCCAACGTTTTCACATGCACTACTGCTTACCGCAGGCCGAACGAGGATGCCTCGGAGGCAAATCTTTCGATCCAGGAGTTCCCATGTCTGCTATGGGCATCATCCCCACTCGCCCTATCTGTTGAAGCAGAGAAACCTCTTGCATGCGAGATACCCGATTTCCCTGATGGCTGTACACGGGCATGGTACGTCGTGATTATGGTAAGCTGACTTCCCCCCTCTGCTTGATCCGTTCAGCTCATCTACGTCTGTGCAAGCTTGCCACTGACAATCTGTACACAGTTTTGGCTGAATCGTCTACTTTGGTATAAGCCAACTTGGAGTAATATTTAAAACGCAACTTACGTCGAATCCATGTCTTTCAGACATACTACGAAGAGTATACACATTCAAAGAGCAATCTGCATCTAACATTTCACGGATTGGATCCATCCTGAGTATGTAATTTAATTTTTATTATTACGTAACCAACAATGAGTGGTTCGCGGAAGGCCCACCTGCTGACTGGCCGCGTGCTGGGTCTGCTTGCTATCAGCAATGTTCTAAGTTGTTGCACTAGTAAGCACAGACGAACTGTAAACGTTTTTGTTCACAGGTCAATAGTGTAGTTTCTTATTGCAGAGTGCAAGACTTTCCTGCCAGTCATTTTGCGCCACGGAGACGGTAGCAGCTGGGGCTGGAGCTCGTTATCAGAGACGGACCTACAACCCTAACTTTATCATTTAGTTCTTTGCTGGCAGGCTCTTCTGAAGCACTCCTGCAATTGGGTCCTACTGGTGTATGTGGTCCGCTTCTCATTGCAGCCCTAGTACTCTGACGCTCCTTTAGTTTCTCGAAGAAACGTTCTCAAGCTTTTGTTGTCCTTGCAACGGGATCGAGTATCGGAGCCCAATTACTATTCAGAAACTATTCGGGAAAGACTGCTTCAAACGGAACACTCGCGCCAGCAGCACTTACTACCACCTTTGCCGTCATCGTCGCCAACCTGGTTCACAGTCCTTCACTTTATCGAAATGCTGTTCTGTTCTGGTGCTGGGTAAGCTTCTCCTCCATCTTCGCCCTCTCTCCAACATTAAGGGAGGCTTGTTTAATTGGCAAGCCTTCAAAAGCCCTCCAGTTTACTTGCTGTGGTAAGCAAACCCGTTTTGTCGTTCTGTGAGCTTGTTGACCCCTGGACCTAGTCATTGCTCACAATGTGACATTGCTGGGCCTTTACGTTCCTCTTATTTACCTCGATTTGTCCGGCGAAGTAGCTGGATTTTCTCCGGATCTTACGTTTTACTTGATTTCCATAACTGTTCCTAGCCGAGAGAGGGCACTCAACACTCTAATCCCATTCACCTTAATATGAGCAGTCCTGCCTTTCCCCTGGGCGAATGTGACTTCTAGCATAGCCTCCCCGGCTCGCGGTGTCGGCAATGTGTGGGTGCGCCACAGGGCCATTTGCTAGTTTGACCCCAAGTGCACCGGCACGGCTTGGCGGGGAAGCACGATGCAGGTAGAAGGTACGAGTTTGGCTTTCTGATGTCACAGTGATCATTCTTCTCATCGCCTCGTTAGGATTGGCGTGGCGACCACTTGTATAGTGAGTATGCCGTCCCTTTGAAGGTTTTTTTTACGTTGGTTGTGTTTCCTGGGCTTTCGGTGCGACCGGAGGGCCGCCACCTTGTGGGTGTGATACGTACCAAATCTGGCTGATTTGATGGTATTGGATTGTACTCCGGCGGAGTCCATCCTCATGGGATGCATACTCTTGCCCATTACCCGATACGCACGATCGGGAAACTCTAAAAAAACGTTCTAAGACGTTCGATAAACCTTTGGTTGTGAGGAGGCCAGTGAATGCTGGTGATGTTGGTTGCTGATGGAAAGGACACCCAGATGCGTTCCATTGTGGATCACAACACTAGTCTCGCTTCTTGATTTCTACAGTTAGTACGAGCTCCTGTTTCAAGTTGGACGGAAAGCGGCGGTTCCAGGATGCAGTACTTGTGCTGGTGAACATGTCAACCATTTCATTGTACCAGGATCTACCTCCTTTCGATTCGGATCATATTATTATAGTCTCGGTCGTTTACATACGCTTGCCTATTTTAGAACGTAATGAAAGCCCCGAACAGCCTGCGAAGTGATTGGCGAGACGGAAAAAGTTTTCATGCGGTTCCTCAGTTCGCGCATCGCCCGCACGCTCGGTCAATATTCAATGGTGAAACAGTCACCACCGAGGTTTCCGCACTGCGAACTTAGTTCTTTGTTACCTACTGCCTTGCTGTGAGTCAGGTGCAAAGTTGTAGTAAGAGACATAGCCCAATTGTATCCCTCTGAGGCTTTAAAAAGCTGGAAAGATGCTCGAGGGGATTCAAAAACCAAAAACCACCCAGTCCTTCCAGTCATAAAGCCTACAATCCTTCTGAATATCCACAATGGTCTTCCACACTCGTGTCGCACTCGCTGAAGACTACGACCTCTCCCAGTCTCAGATTAATGAGTACCAGAACAATGTCTGTCCCGCACTTGCGCTGAACGGGGCTGTCTTTGCTGACCGAAATCCTCTAGGGTCACATCCTGCTAAGGAATGTCATTCCCGAGTCCGGAGATTGCTGAATTGCGCACTGCCGTCTTGCGAGCGCATGAAGCTCTCAAAGCCGAAGAAGAAGACTTCCAGAAGGCATTCCGCATCACCCAAAACCTATGGGAAATTAACGACGTCGTGCGAGCACATGTCTTGTCTAAGCGTTACGCAGGTACGCTTCGTGACCATCGGCCGCCAATCTCACGCTCACCTTGAAAAATAAGGAATCGCTGCGAAGTTCTTGGGATGCCGTGACGTGCGGGTTTACCACGACCTCACCTTCTTCAAGGAGGGTCTTGGTAAGGGCAAGCCGACGCCGTGGCACCAGGACGGGCACTACTGGTCAGTGACCTCTTTCTAACTTCTAGCCATGAACGTGCATTGAGCTGTACCCGTTACGACAGGCCCCTTGACACGGAAAAGTGCATAACCCTTTGGGTTCCGCTTCTCGATTGCCCGGTAGACATGGGTCCGATGTCGTTCGTGTCGGGTTCACATCTCAATAAAGATGCTGAACATCTGCCGATTTCCGATGAGAGCGATGAATATATCAGAAATTTGGTAGAGAAAGAAAACCTGTCTGTGGCCCCCGCGCAACATATGAATGCAGGAGATGCAACATTGTAAGTGTCTCACTCCCAGCTGTTGGAAATCAGGCTTAGCACAGATGTTATAGCCACTCGTGCTGGACATACCATGCTGCAGCATCCAACACGACAGAAAACATTAGAATTGCATTCGCTATCGCGTACTATGACGCCGATGCAACGATTCCCCTGGAGCCACCAACCAATGAGCGGCGTGCGGCGAACTTGGCAAGGTGGTTCCCTGGGGCCGTACCCGGTGGGCCTGCGGCCACTGAAATAAACCCTGCTATCCTTTCTCCCCGTGATTGATGGAACATTGACACGTGCTATTTAAGACGGGCGTGTAGGCGAATTCCTTCTTTGAGTAGATATCCTGCTGGTTCAGAATTACTACCATAATATCCCCACTTCGGAGTTAGAGGTTGCACATACTTTATAATATAGTCCAGAGGGCTTATGTAGCTTTTGTATAATGGCCTGCGCTATGAATTCCACGGTAATTATATATGCACAAACTGAAACAGATTGAAAAGCCAGCAAACCTGTCATTCTTAGTGCCCCAGGTAAAGCAGCAAGCCGATACCGCCAGGTGTCCTGTCGCGGCCAGAGTTCCAGAAAGGCTTCGACTACATAGCAGCTAGAAAGTTGCAGAAGCAGAGAACTTGATTCCAAAACTGTAAGGAAGACGCACCCAGAGTGTTAAGTCATGCTGATCACTCTGGATGGCTGAACATTTTCCACCTGTGGCAGCCTTGCAACGGGATAATCACATCTAACACTGCGCAGGAGTTCCGAAATTACGTGCAGAAAAAATTCTTCCGCTCTTGCCAAGTCTTCGCCACTGGACCAACCACCGCAGCCATCTAGTTGCCTCGTGGAAAGCTAGATGCGAAGGTTTCAAGTGATATCTGGTTCTAAAAAACAACACAATGGTTCGCGCCCTCTATCTCTTTTCAAACCCAGATCCGGGGAACATTGTGCGAGGGACTGGTTTCACCTCCGTGGAGAATCGCATGATCGCACGTCCTACCGTGGGGCTGAGGCTGCCCATGGGTCAATGGCACGAGCATAAACCGCAATTTTACTGGCGGGACGGAGTTGGGGTGAATACAAACGGCAAGGCGTCCCCATCCATCCAGTCTACCGGCTGCACCTAACGGCATACCGCATCAACCTCTGTCATCTCCTTACTGTATTGTCTACTCGTTGGTCAACGTGGACTTGGTCAGCTGTGGATGCTTGGTTCTTCGCTCACCCTACCTCTCGGGTGTCCGTTGATGTTGCTTGTCCGTCCCATTTCCCTTTCTCGGGATCTCAACACTGACTATGCATTATGATGCACGGCAGCATGTCTATGTCATCCTTAATACCTATTCTTACTCACTATTGTAAGCATGACATGGACATAACCCTCGCGTCGGCAGGCCGCTAATGTCTTTGCCATGCACACTTATGGAATATCATACCCAGTCCAAGGGTAGGACAGGTTGAAGAGCTGTAAAATGTGATATTCCCGTCGACGTCAGGTACATCTGGTCGAATCTTTCTGTTAGGCTGGCGAGGGGCTTATCCAATCCCGCTCCCGCTTTTCATTAACAAGTCCTCGTGACGGTCTCAGTGACTCTCGGTAGTAGTGTCAGCGATGATCATTTTGCAGTTTGGTTTGTAGGGTTTTCAAAAGGTATGTCATTGAAACGTCGATAATCTGGCTAATCATCAATCAGTAATCAGTGCCATTAACGAGTACGCGAAATGTTGAATCCACGTGACGTGTGTCGCCCATCGGCCATCATTTTGTAGTTTTTCAACCAGATGTCTCTTGAATCATCATATCTAGCTTTACACGAAGCAACCAGCTGGCTGCGATGGTTGGTTCATCTGCTGTTTAATCGGATATCATCCGAAATCACCGCACCTAGCTCTATACGAGGCAACCAGCTGGCTGCTCGACAAGTGACTCTGACGTCAGAAAACAGAAAACTCCCGGATGAAAACTACTCTCTCCAGTCCCGCCTTCTTGGCAAAACCATCTCGACCGCGACAGGTGTAGACAAGAAATCATTTTCATAACTTCAAGCCAGAATTTATGAATCCACCTTCACCAGAACGCAGGTGGGTTGCCCGAAGAACCACCTCGAGGGTGGAGGTCAAATCATATTGCATGATGGGGATAGAAGACTAACTTTAGTTTTCAGCTTCAATGGTTTCAAGCCAACCTTGTTCTTATCCGCAGGAACAGGGATCGGAATGGGGTGCTGCACGTAAATAGTCACGGGAGAGTTCTCTGTGCGGATATCAAGCGCTGAGAAGCCCATTGCAAGGACGTCGTTAAGTTCGATTGGTCTGGCCAAGTAGGTGGATCTTCTCCAGCTTTTACGTTTTACTTGAGTTCCATGACTGTTCTTAGCTGACAGATATGGGGCACTCGACTCCCTAATCCCATTCACCTTAGTATGAGCAGTCCTGTCTTTTGCCTAGCCGTATGTGACTTCTAGAATGGCCTTCCTGGTGGTTGTGTCGGCAATGTGTGGGTGCGCTATATGATCATTTGTTAGTTTGACCTTAAGTGCACCGGCACGGCTTAGCGGGAACAGCCCTGCAGGCAGAAGGTACGAATTGGGCTTTCCCATGTTGGCACAGTGATCATTCCTCTCATCGCCTCGGTCAGGATTGGCATGGCAGTCACGTGTATACCGACCCTTTGAAGACTTTATATAGGCTGTGTTTCTTGCGCTTTCGGTACGACCGGAGGGCTGCCACTTGGGGGTCTAATACGCACCAAGTTCTGGCGGATCTGACGATGTTGAATCATACTCTGGCGGAGTTATCCTCATACTCTTGGCCGTTACCCGATACCTGGGACTGGGAAAATGGGTTGGGAAATTCTTACAAACGTTCCAAGAGGTTCGATAAATCTTTGGTTGTGAGGAGGCCACTGAATCTTGGTGATGTTGCTGATGGAAAGGAAACTGGGCATATGCGGATGGTTTCATTGTGGATCACAGTACTATTCTCGTTTCCTGATTTCTACAGTCGGTATTCGTCTGATTAGTATCCTAAATGCTCTGTGTTAGTTCCCCATACTATTAACACCTGTGCATTTGGTTGGCCTTCTGAGCTCCTGTTTCAAGTTGAATGGAAAGCGGTGGTATTGGGGACGCAGTACCTGTGGCGGTGAACATGTGGACCATTCCATCGTGCTAGCATCTACAGTCGACTCCCTTACAACCCATACCCATTCGGGATAGGCCATAGGGTATGGAGTATGGGAGTATGGGTTTTCTAAGAGCTATTTGGGGGGAGTGTGGGAATTCAGGAAATGGAAAAATGTATGGGTTAGGAGGGCGTGGACTGTACCTCCCTCCCATTCGGATCATAGCTTATCTGCAAAACATAGCCCGCCGTAATGGAAGGCAATGGTCCCAGTTTGGCTTAGTTTTGTCGTAAACCCCGTCTCCGTCCAATCACAGTACATACATCCTGAGTATTGACCAAGTCAGCAAGCGCACACCGTAATTCGATGCTTTTGCAGATTAGTACAGTCTCGGTCACTTCCATAAGCTTCCCTGAAAGTGATGGGCGTGACGGAAAAAGTTCTCGTGCAGTTGCGCATCGCCCAGACCTGTGGGAAAACCGCACCAATAGTGTCCGATCACTCATGACACATCGTACGCCCGGCCAATATTCAACGGTGAAACCGTCACCACCGAGGTTTCCGCACTGCGAACTTAGTCTTTGTTGCCCACTGGTTTGCTGTGGATCGGCTACAAGGTTGTAGTAAGGAACATAGCCCAATTGTACCCCTCTGAAGATTTAAAAAGCTGGAAAGATGGTCGACGAGATTCAGAAACCAAATACCACACCACCCAGTCCTTCCAGTCACAAAGCCTACACCCTCCTGAATATCCACAATGGTCTTCCACACTCGCGTCGCACTCGCTGAGGATTACGACCTCTCCCAGTCTCAGATTAATGAGTACCAGAACAATGTCTGTCCCGTACTCGTGCTGAACGGGGGTGTCTTTGCTGACCGAAATCCTCTAGGGTCACATCCTGCTAAGGAATGTCATTCCCGAGTCGGAGATTGCTGAATTGCGCACTGCCGTCTTGCGAGCGCATGAAGCTCTCAAAGCCGAAGAAGAAGACTTCCAGAAGGCATTCCGCATCACCCAAAACCTATGGGAAATTAACGACGTCGTGCGAGCACATGTCTTGTCTAAGCGTTACGCAGGTACGTTCGTGACCATCGGCCGCCAATCTCACGCTCACCTTGAAAAATAAGGAATCGCTGCAAAGTTCTTGGGCTGCCGCGACGTGCGGGTTTACCACGACCTCACCTTCTTCAAGGAGGGTCTTGGTAAGGGCAAGCCGACACCATGGCACCAGGACGGGCACTACTGGTCAGCGACCTCTTTCTAACTTCTGGCCCCGAACATGCATTGAGCTGTACCCGTTACGACAGGCCCCTTGACACGGAAAAGTGCATAACCCTTTGGGTTCCGCTTCTCGATTGCCCGGTAGACATGGGTCCGATGTCGTTCGTGTCGGGTTCACATCTCAATAAAGATGCTGAACATCTGCCGATTTCCGATGAGAGCGATGAATATATCAGAAATTTGGTAGAGAAAGAAAACCTGTCTGTGGCCCCCGCGCAACATATGAATGCAGGAGATGCAACATTGTAAGTGTCTCACTCCCAGCTGTTGGAAATCAGGCTTAGCACAGATGTTATAGCCACTCGTGCTGGACATACCATGCTGCAGCATCCAACACGACAGAAAACACTAGAATTGCATTCGCTATCGCGTACTATGATGCCGATGCAACGATTCCCCTGGAGCCGCCAACCAATGAGCGGCGTGCGGCGAACTTGGCAAGGTGGTTCCCTGGGGCCGTACCCGGTGGGCCTGCGGCCACTGAAATAAACCCTGCTATCCTTTCTCCCCGTGATTGATGGAACATTGACACGTGCTATTTAAGGCGGGCGTGTAGGCGAATTCCTTCTTTGAGTAGATATCCTGCTGGTTCAGAATTACTACCATAATAACCCCACTTCGAAGTTGGACACTGGCACATACTTTATAATATAGTTTAGAAGGGTTATGTAGCTTGTGTATAATGTCCTGCGCTGCGAATTCCAAGGTGATTATTTATGCGCAAACTGAAGCAGCCCAACGGCTCTTAGTACCTCATATAAAGCAGCAAGCCGATAGTGCTAGGAGTTTTGTCTTCGTCTAAGTACAACGTGTTTGGTTCCAAACTACGAGGAAGACATACCCAGAGTGCTAAATCATCCATAATCTCCGGGGGAACTCCTTGCTTTCGGGTGAGGCGACGTACGCACGGTCTTTGTCTACGCCGCAACCTGACATATACAGACCGTGCATAATACGTGCATCGTCGCCGATAGCCGCATGAGCTATGTGCGGCTTCCTACGTCTAGCGTCCGTGAAAACGACGTGAAGGACTTCCCCCAGAGAATTTGCCAACATCTATGTGTGGCACAGTCTGCGGTCTGCAGCACAAACTATGATAGGGGAAACGTTTAGAAGTCGAGCTTCGAGTTCTCGTATGAACATCATGCTCATCACTGTTTTATTTTGACAAGATATTCAGAGGTTATCATGCACGCGCACGGCGCACTTCGGGAAGCTTACATTTCGACATGCCATACTGTTCAGCGCTGAAATATCGATTGGCGAGACACAGGTCAGTGGGAGGGGGCGGCAAAATCACCTTTGGTGAAATTCTTACTGTTGACGGTTTCCAAAATGCGATCCCAAGTCCTTGTCTTCTTAGAGCCAGAACCTCCTTCTGAATCAAGTATGTACAGACATGGAGCACACCGAAAGAGGGACCTTGGTCTCCATGGAGTTCAATATGGTAGTCGCACTATAGGCACAGGCGTCAGCGGCAGCGTAGCGGGGCCCGTGTGCCAAGCCCCCAATCCCCCCCGATCAGACTCCTGGTGTCACAGTTGTTCTCCCGAGCAGCTTTATCGGATATTGACCTCGCGGTGGGTCAATTTGAGCCCAAGGGAAAATCGGCATGTGGCGAGCTGAGCTCCGTCATAGTCGGTCCGGTGGCCTCTTGTTTTCTTCGTTCCACGTCAGCTCAGAAGGTTGCTTGCCGCGCCTCCCAAAACCTCTCGCTCACGTGACACATATCTCGAACACGGTCACTCGCGCAACTCGGACTCGCTAATAGGTACTGCGTGCGCCTTGCGACACGTTGCCTTCCCCCCGTACCCACTAGGCCCAGTGATCTGCAACCTTTCTCTGGTCAGTTCCCATGAGTAGTTTCTCGCTTCGATTTTGTCTGGTTACGATTTTGCCTGACAATGACATGGGCTGGCAGCCTGGCATGAATTTTATTACCGACTACGGCACTGGCGGTGCAGGTGATGTCAGGACCACCAGGGTCAGCCAGGACTCCCAGTGTCCCAGTGCCTGCCAAGAGCGTCCAGTACCTGCCAGTGCAGCAAACTTTCGCTGATAAGTAGGCCGTCACAGCGCATACTGACCACCGGAGCCCAAACGCCACCCCCTTCAAACTTTGGATCCGCACGTACACATCATGTCTTTCGGAGAGTCAGTGCGTAAACTGCATGTCACATTATACTTTGATGGATACGCTTTCTTGCGGGCTGTTCGACCCGTCCACATTAGTTTTTACTAAACCTGCTCCGTGAGTAGGTTTAGCGGTTTCTGAACACAAAAATAGAAGTCTAATATGCGCAGGAACTTGGCCACCGCGTGCTTGCAGCAGTTCAACGAATCGCATTACGCAAAACTCTAACTGTCGTCTACGTCCTATGTGTACCGCCAGTCGCTCTCAATCTCAACATGATGATCCATCGACAATCACCTCAATCAGTCAATGGGTCCCACACAACCGCTTCTCAAGTGGGTGGTGTAATTGTCAGTTCATGGCGGGGATTGACATTGATGTCGCTGTAGTGGTGATGGTCTGCGCGGTGGTGCCGAGTCAAAGATTCGTTATACCGTCTTCGCTAACCGTCCCCTGCGCGTCATAAGGCTCCCGGAGATGAAGCTCATGAGAAGAAGTGCGGTAGTGAATTATCTGGTCTAGATGAGACTCGAGAATGTGGTGCGGGAAGTCAGAGCAGTGGAGAAAAGGAAATATTTGAACCGGGGGCGGCTCTTGCGCACTGCGATGTGCGATTCCGCCATTGATACATGGGTGGAAAACGTCACAAAACCTGCCATCTTGTCACATACATGGGAAGCGGACGAACCCAATTACGAAGACTTCCGCCAGAAGTGCGGTGGTGGTAAGCAGGGCTACAAGAAACTGTATCATTGCCCACGAAGATTATGGGGCCGAATCCGCTTGGCCAGATACAGTGTGTATTGACAAGTTCAGTAGTGCAGAACTGGACCAATCGATCCGTTCGTTGTTCGCATGGTATCGCAATGCGTATATTTGCATTGTTTATGAGGGCCAAACGCAGTCACCGCTTGATTTCGCTGCCGATCGCTGGTTCACGCGGGCGTGGACCTTGCAGGAGCTCCTCCCGCCGTCGCGATTAAAGTTCCATAATAAGGATTGGTATCCGCTTACCGACTTCCGGAACGACAAGATAATTATCGAGGACGTCAGAAAACTCACAGGTGTGACCTCCAGTCCCACTTACTTCGCAAAGCCATCTCGACCGCAACTGGTATAGACATCCACCATTTTCTTAACTTCAAAACCTGGATTTATGGATCCACCTTTGCCCCAACGCATGGGGTGGGTTGCCCGAAGATTCACCACGAGAACTGGAGGACAAGTCATATTGCATGATGGGAATATTTGGAGCTAGCATGATGGTGGCATGTAGGGAGGGTTCGGAACGTGCGTTCTTCAGGCTCTTCCAAGCGATTCTGGAAGCAGGATATGCCCGCGACTGGTTTTTGTGAAGGGGAAAGGCTGTTCCGTCCCATATCCATCCTTCGTGTATGATGCTCTCTGGTCCTGAGTACTATTTATCTAGCGATTTTCAGATGAACTGTCAGGATGCAATGAGGTTTGGGCCTTCTGATGAACCTCTCAGCTTAATCAACATAGGTTTGCCGATGAGGCTGCTAATCGTTCCCGCACGCATCGCTGACGGTGATTATTACCATCCCGACGATTTCCGCATTTCGTGTTCTCTATCCGATGACATTGTTACGGTGAAAGGTGTCCGTTTGAAACTATGGCGACAAAAGGCTAACTTTAGTTGTCAGCTTCGAAGGTTTCAAGCCAACCTTGTTCTTATCTGCAGGAGCAGGGATCGGAATGGGGCTGCACTTAAATAGTCACGGGAGAGTTCTCTGTGCGAATATTAAATGATGAGAAGCCCATTGCAAGATCGTCATAAGTTCAATTGGTCTGGCCAAATAGGTGGATTTTCTCCAGCTTTTACGTTTTACTTGAGTTCCATAACTGTTCCTAGCCGACAGATTTGGGGGACTCGACGCCCTAATCCCATTCACCTTAGTATGAGCAGTCCCGTCTTTCACCTGGCCGTATGTGACTTCTAGAATGGCTTTCCTGGTTGTTGTGTCGGCAATGTGTGGGTGCGCCATATGGTCATTTGTTAGCTTGACCCTAAGTGCACCGCACGGCTTAGCGAGAAGAGCGATGCAGGCAGAAGGTACGAATTTGGCTTTCTTCATGTCACAGTGATCATTCCTCTCATCGCCTCGGTCAGGATTGGTATGGCGATCACGTGTGTGGTGAGTATACCGCCCCTTTGTCTTGGGCTTTCGGTGCGACCGAAGGGCCGTCACTTGGGGGTGTAATACGCACCAAGTTCTGGCGGATCTGACGATGTTGGATTGTACTCCGGCGGAGTTATCCTCATGGGATGCACACTCTTAGTCGTTACTCGATACCTGGGACTGGGAAAATGGGCTGGGAAATTCTATACAAACGTCCCAAGAGGTTCGAAAAACCTTCGGTTGCGAGGCCACTGAACCTTGGTGATGTTGCTGATGGAAAGGAAACTGGACATATGTGGATCGTTTCATTGTGGATCCCAACACTATTCTCGCTTCCTGATTTCTACAGTTGGTACTCGTCCGACGTATCCTAAATGCTCTGTGTATGGTTAGTTCCCCATAATATTAATACCTGTGCATTCGGTTGAGCTCCTGTTTCAAGCGGAACGGAAAGCAGTGGTATCGGGGATGCAGTACCTGTGGTGGTGAACATGCGGACCATTCCATTGTACCAGGATGTATGTACCTCCCTTTCGTTCGGATCATAATTTTAAAACGGAATGGGAGTTTCGAACAGCCTGCAAAGTGATGGGCGTGATTGGCGAGACGGAAAAAGTTCTCGTGCGGTTGCGCATCACCCAGACCTGTGGGAAAACCGCACCAATAGTGTCCGATCACTCATGACACATCGTACGCCTGGCCAATATTCAACGGTGAAACCGTCTTCACCGAGGTTACCGCACTGCGAACTTAGTCTTTGCTACCCACTGGTTTGCTGTGAGTCGGGTGCAAAGTTGTAGTAAGGGACATAGCCCAATTGTATCCCTCTGAAGATTTAAAAAGCTGGAAAGACGGTCGACGAGATTCAGAAACCAAACACCACCCAGTCCTTCCAGTCAAAAAGCCTACAACCTTCTGAATATCTAAAATGGTCTTCCACACTCGCGTCGCACTCGCTGAGGACTACGACCTCTCCCAGTCTCAGATTAATGAGTACCAGAACAATGTCTGTCCTCGTACTCGTGCTGAACGGGGCTGTCTTTGCTGACCTGAAATCCTCTAGGGTCACATCCTGCTAAGGAATGTCATTCCTGAGTCGGAGATTGCTGAATTGCGTGCTGCCGTCTTGCGAGCGCATGAAGCTCTCAAAGCCGAAGAAGAAGGACTTCCAGAAGGCATTCCGCATCACCCAAAACCTATGGGAAATTAACGACGTCGTGCGAGCACATGTCTTGTCTAAGCGCTACGCAGGTACGTTCGTGACCATCGGCCGCCAATCTCCACGCTCACCTTGAAAAATAAGGAATCGCTGCGAAGTTCTTGGGCTGCCGTGACGTGCGGGTTTACCACGACCTCACCTTCTTCAAGGAGGGTCTTGGTAAGGGCAAGCCGACGCCGTGGCACCAGGACGGGCACTACTGGTCAGTGACCTCTTTCTAACTTCTGGCCCCGAAACGTGCACTGAGCTGTACCCGTTACAACAGGCCCCTTGACACGGAAAAGTGCATAACCCTTTGGGTTCCGCTTCTCGATTGCCCGGTAGACATGGGTCCGATGTCGTTCGTGTCGGGTTCACATCTCAATAAAGATGCTGAACACCTGCCGATTTCCGATGAGAGCGATGAATATATCAGAAATTTAGGTAGAGAAAGAAAACCTGTCTGTGGCCCCCGCGCAACATATGAATGCAGGAGATGCAACATTGTAAGTGTCTTCACTCCCAGCTGTTGGAAATCAGGCTTAGCACAGATGTTATAGCCACTCGTGCTGGACATACCATGCTGCAGCATCCAACACGACAGAAAACACTAGAATTGCATTCGCTATCGCGTACTATGATGCCGATGCAACGATTCCCCTGGAGCCACCGACCAATGAGCGGCGTGCGGCGAACTTGGCAAGGTGGTTCCCTGGGGCCGTACCCGGTGGGCCTGCGGCCACTGAAATAAACCCTGCTATCCTTTCTCCCCGTGATTGATTGAATATTCAACACGTGCTCCTTAAGGCGGGTGTGTGGACGAAGTCTTTCTTTGAGTAGATATCCTGCTGGTTCAGAATTACTACCATAATAACCCCACTTCGAAGTTGGACACTGGCACATACTTTATAATATAGTTTAGAAGGTTTATGTAGCTTGTTTATAATACGCTGCGAATTCCAAGGCGATTATTTATGCGCAAACTGAAGCAGTCCAACGGCTCTGAGTGCCTCATGTAAAGCAGCAAGCCGATAGTGCTGGGAGTTTTGTATTCGTCTAAGTACGTGTTTCGTTCCAAGACTATGAGGAAGACACACCCAGAGTGCTAAATCATCCATAATCTCCGGGGGAACTCCTTGCTTTCGGGTGAGACGACGTACGCACTCTCTTTGTCTACGTTGCAACCTGACTCATGCAGGCCATGCATAGTACGTGTTTCGTTGCCGATCGCCTCATGAACTATGTGCAACCTCCTACTTCCAGCGTCCGTGAAAACGATGCGAAGGACTTCCCCAGAGAATTTGCCAACATCTTCGTGTGACGCAATCCGCGGTCTGCAGCACAAACTATGATAAGGGAAGGGTTTGGAGGTCGAGCTTCAAGTTCTTGCATGAGCATCGTGCTCACCACTGTTTATATATATAAGAAGCTCAGAGGTTATCATGCACGCGCACGGTGCACCTTGCCAGCTTACATTTCGATATGCAATACTGTCCTGAGCTGAAATATCGATTAGCGAGCGGCAGGTCAGTGGGAGGGGGCGGCAAAATCACCTTCAGTGAGGTTCTTACTGTCGACAGTTTCCGAAATGCGTTCCAAAGCCCTTGCCTTCTTCAAGGACTTAGGGCCAAGCCAGAGCCTCCTTCTGAATCAAATATGTACTCAGACATGGAGCACTTCAAACGAGGGACCTTGGTCTCCATGGAGTACCGATATGGTAGTCGCAACTGTAGGCACGGGCGTCGGCGGCAGCGTAGGCACCAACTTTGAGCGACACCTAATATGTAGCGACGCTCGTGTGCAGCCATGTGCCAAGCCCCCAACTCCCCCCGATCAGACTCCTGGTGTCACAGTTGTTCTGACAAATCTTCCGAGCAGCTTTATCGGATATTGACCTCGCGATGGGTCAATTTAAGCCCAAGGCAAAATCGCCATGTAGTGAGCTGAGCTCCGCCATAGTCGGTCTGGTGGCATCTTGTTTTGCTCGTTCCAGCCGCGCCTCCAAAACCTCTTGGTCACGTGACTCGTTTCTTGGATTCGATGATCCAACACGGTTGTGCCACTCTCTAATAGGTACTGCGTATGCCTTGCGACGGGTTACCTTCCCCCCGTACGATCAACAAAACCACTCGCATAATATAAGGTCGTAAAACTTACTGCAATGTCCTAAAATTCAGTACAACTGATACATAGTACTGTCTCCGTTATATACAACAATGTATTGCACTATAACAAGCGGCCAAATACAGTGTGGATAAGGGTCGCAACCCATCCATTGGCACATGATATTTTATAGCCATGTATCTCGGTGCCATTCGATGCATTTTAGTATGTTGAATTGTATTCCTCGCCATACTTTATCACACGTTCCACTGGATTTCATATGAATGCAATGACTTCTATTGCATGGTATACATTACATGATGATGCAGTCCACTGAGAGCAAGTTAGAAGCCGACAACGCTAGTACAACATTCAATGCATCCCGAAATGAGCAGCCACGCACCAGTTACAGGAATAAACGATGACAAGGTATAAGAGGGAAGCATTCGAACAACAAAGTAGGGGAAATGAAGGCAGTGTTGGGACTACTTGCGCTTGACACGCTTACGTGGTGGCTCAGCCTTGTTCTTCGAGCGCTGACCAGCACTGCCACCTTGAGATTTCTTCGTGGTCGTAGTGGGCTCTGGAGTGGGGTCCTTTCGTATGGTCTCAGTAGCTTCAGGATCCGTCAGTGGGCTCCCAACGGTCTCGCATTCATTACCTGGGTCATGGTGAAAATTTCTGTGACTGGGCCTAGGCCCTGGAGGTGATCTGGGATGGAAGCTGGTGCGATGGTCAGGTGGATCGAAGTCGTTACGTTGTGGCACTGAATGGGCATCATCTCCCAAGCTTGGTTGGATCTGCAGACCATGGTAAGCCAATGGATTGATCCGAAGCAGAACATTGCAAGTACTGCTACCTTGGCGCTGCTGTTCTTGGGTGGCAGAGTACCTTCATCGTCGCGAGATACATGAACCATGGGTGTGGGAGACATGGTAACCTGAGGCCCATTGCGACTGTCAATTGAGTGCTGCACATGTTCTTCAGTACAACGAGATTGGCGACCCGCAACCGGGGAGTCAAGGAAAGAGTCCATGTCGTCATCCTCTGATGAGTCATCCGAGTTTGCTGCTGAGATTGGTCGCCTTCGCTTGGAAGTTTGGCTGAGGCCAGGCACCTGCCTTCAAATGCGAGTAAACCTAGTTGACCGTGATAACACTCTTCGGATGCAGTACATACTTATTCCACCAGTGAAGCGTCTCTTGGGTCCATGGATGGTCTGGTTGATCTTCCAAGACCTTGACAATCTTGAGAAAGAGTTCGTAAAGGTCAACACCACCAATTGCAGATGTCCACTGCTCGGCGGAGCTGAGCGCAAAGTAGTACTGAGAAACAAGAGTTAGCAGACAGAGAGAATAAGAGCCGTAACTCCATAAGGTGACCTGTATCGCAGCATACGCAATTGTGCGAGGTGTTGGGTCAGGCAGGCCGTGTGCTACACCTTGCGGGGTTTTCGTGCCTCTGCGAGTTGGGTCCAGTGCAGATGATGGACTTGTGAAAATGTGACGAAAGGTCTACCAGTAAAGACTTCAGCCAAGCTCGCACACAATTTTCAAGTTCACATGAATACATACCCGTACTAAACCTTGGCTTCGGAGAAACCCTTTCTTCTTGTTGTTTGGGTCAAACATTTTCACGTCGTAGAGGCAAGCTGGAAACTTGCGATGTGTGATTTTTCGTGTCCCATCGTGAACCTGGTTCATGAATAGTCTGATCATATGCACTGCATGAGCAGAAGGAAACGAAGTTGAGGTAGACATACTGAGCGTTTCTATCAAACTCTTCCAGGTGTACAATTGGGCAGAGGTTCCGTGCAGTAAGAGGATGGTTCCATCCACGGGTTGACTTGGGGTCACCCTTCCGGATTGGTGGCTTCACAGACTGAGTCGTGGGGTCCTCAAGCATATATGTCAGCACGTCCCACTTGAGGCTTCCTGTGTCATTTGTTCGCGACCGAGCAGCAGCAGCAACAAGCTGGATGAAAATTAGTGAGTTTGAGACATGTCAAGTGCATATATGCACCTACCTCATCGATGAAAGTAGAAAGTGAGTCGCGCTCATGTTCAAAGCCTGAAACAAGCTCACTTCCATTATCAATATGCGAGATGAAATTCTGATAAAGTGCGATATGATAGTCTTTCTCATTCTGACTGCCAAATGCAAACAATGTTAGTGCAGTGCGTCACAAGCAGGGCATTAGTCATACGTGTATGCAGTGGAATCCTCATCTGGCTCCTCAAGTGGATCTGGAAACTCATTCTGGATCCCATCCCAGAGCACTCGTTCAAAATCCACAAAGGGGTCCATACTCATAGGGAAGAAAAACGCAGCAGATGTAAATGGTAACATTGCATCTCTGAAAGTCATCAGCTGGGGAGTCCTATGCTCATATAAACACAATGAATGTACCTCTTTTGCCTTGGGTTAGACAGACTATCAAGCAACTTTTGAAAGGAATTGTTGAGCATGACGCCTCCAGGCATGATGGTGATAGGAGAATACGAAATGAGCCGCACTACATGGTGAAGTGGCATTTCAAGCGGAGACTAAATTCACACCCCTGCCTTTACTCCTGGCGCCCACTGCCCTGATTCCACCATTGATTGTATTACATTGCAACAAGTTGCAGTAGATTGTATCTGCATGGTCCATGCTCACGCAGCGTGTGTTCCTTGTATTCTTTGTTATAACGGCTGCTTTTGCATGTGTAGGATGTAATCGTTCATTCAAGAACAGGACTGCCCTTTGTAATCACAAACGAGCCTGTAAATTCAAGATATCACAGGCAGCAAAGTCTATCCTTTCAAGGCGGAAGGAGGGACGTACTGCCCATCAAGCAAACCAGGCACTGCAGAAGGAACAGGCTAAATACATGGAGCTGGCAAATGAAACAATTAGTGATGATGTAGTAACCATAGTAAGGTGCCTTTCAATACTTAATTCGAAACACAGTATTATCTTACATATGTATGGTGTCAGGATGTGGCAGATGTCGTGCCTGCCGAACCCTTGTCACCCGAGTACCGGGTTTCTGGGTTGCCCAACCGTCGGCGTCGCTTACCAAAGAGGTTTCGTGATGATCTACCCCCGATTCAAAGCACTGCCGCCATAGCAGTCGCAGCAGCCAAATCCCCCAGGCCTGTTGAAGAAGATCATGACATTGTGCTTGATATGGAGACTGACAATGGGTCCCCTCAACCACCTTCGGAGAGCCATATCACCACTGAACCAGACCATTATGGAGTTTACTGCACATACTTCGGACCGAATCTGCCTACTTATGACCCTGATGGCATTGCTGACATCAATCACCTTTCAGATGCACCAACTTTCCCACTCCCTCAAGACCAGCAACACCGAGTTGCATCATGGTGGTCTGGATTTGGCTCATCATTGCGCTCTGTCCAAACTGACTATTTTGCACCATTCCTCAATGCAACTGTATTCCGGCTGATAAGTTGGTTTTATAATGGGACTAATGTGAAGTCACTTGCAGATCTTGATCGCCTTGTGCATGATGTAATCCTCGCCCCGGATTTTGACAGAGCTGGTCTAGAGGGTTTCCGAGCTGTAAAAGAAGTAGAAAGGATTGACGAACACCAGGGCGACCCCAATGATCTTGAATCTGCTTTCTTGGCAGCGGCTGGATGGAAAGAAACTACTGTACAAATACGACTACCGGCGGATGGCATTTTACATGCATCTGAAGACGAGGCACCCCTATTCAACATACCAGGCCTCTTTTACCGCAAGCCACTCGAGGTTCTCTGGTCAGCACTTTGTGAGACATCGGCAGAACAATTCCATTTGTCCCCATTTCACACATATGCCACTGATATTGACTCCCATGAACTACCAACACAGCGCATCTACTCAGAGATCTACAACTCGGATGCAATGGTCGAGGAACACCACAGAGTCCGAGAGCAATCACGTGCAACTGGGTGCACTCTGGAAACTGTAGTTGCAGCAATTATGTTCTGGTCGGATTCAACGCACCTTGCGAACTTTGGCACTGCATCTCTTTGGCCAATTTACATGTATCTTGGAAATCAGTCAAAATATATACGAGGCAGGACAACATCATTTGCCGCACACCACCTTGCTTACATTCCAAAGGTTTGTCCTCGCTATTTTTCCTACTGGTTCATTTATTGTTGTTATTATTATTAACATTACTTGTATAGTTGCCCGACACTCTCCAAGATTTTTATTACCAAGTGTTTAACAAGGCTGCAACTTCGGAGATTCTCACCCTATGCCGACATGAGATAATGCAAGCAATATGGTTACTGCTTCTGGACGATGATTTCATGCATGCCTATCAGTTTGGGCTGGTAGTCGAGTTTGCTGATGGGATTCTGAGGCGTGTTTTTCCACGCATCTTCACATACTCAGCTGACTACCCTGAAAAGTAAGTTCGTGCTGTGCTTTGCCAATATGTATCTCATCTCACCAACAGGGTACTTCTCGCATGCCTCAAGTTTCTGGGAGGATGCCCATGTCCTCGTTGCCTTATCAAGAAAGATGAAATTTCAATGCTTGGGACAAAGGCTGATCGAAATCTTCGCTCTAAAAGGGCACGTGTTGACAACAACAGATTTTGGTTTGTGGTGAAGAAAGTGTGGGAGTGGCTCTTTGTGAAGGGTTTGAACATAGCGAGTGCAGCAGTAAAGCGCTTGCTAATGCCGGAGTCACTTGTTCCAACAGTGGTAAGTTTTCAAGCCTGTCCAAACTATGTGATAACTTGTAATTGCCTTTGAATACTTTAGAATGCCTTCTCAACTCGACTCTCACAATTTGGGGTCAATTTTTTCTCCATGTTTGTGCCAGATCTACTACACGAGTTCGAACTTGGAGTATGGAAGGCTACCTTTACACACCTTCTCCGTGTGTTGTATGCCCATGGTGAAAATGCTATCCAAGATTTAAACAAACGGTAAGCAAGCACTACAAATAATGGTACATTTGTTGTCAAGCATTCGTGTTACAGGTACCGCCAGATACCCCCGTTTGGGCGAGGAACAATTCGAAAGTTCAGCAACAACTGTCTCTGGCATGAAGCGTTTGGCTGCACGAGACTTTGAAGACCTACTTCAGGTGTGTGTGTGGTCAATCTCTTTCCACTGAATGATCTCATGTCTGAGTGTGAGTCATAGTGCGCAATTCCTGTGTTTGAGAATCTTCTACCCCGTCCTTTCAATGCCATTGTTCTTGACTTACTCTTTGAGCTCGCTACTTGGCATGGACTAGCTAAGCTGCGCATGCACACAAACTCTACTCTAGATTACCTTGACACTTCTACAACACGCCTGGGCCAGATCCTCCGTCGGTTTTCGCGTGAGACAAAGAAAGCTTACCAAACTCGGATCTTCCAGCTGAAGAAGCTGCTCGTGGGCGCCGCAAAGCAGCCATGCTACTCAAATCAGCAGCAAAAGATGCGTCTGGCAGTAGGAACCTGACAGAACCCAAGCCGTGTAACTCAGACTCAGCAGGGGGAAGTGGCATCAACAGCAAGGGAAAGCAGAAAGCTGAGGGGCCAAAGCTGTGGTATCTGAACCTCTCCACATACAAACTCCATGCACTTGGTGACTATGTCAATGCCATTCGTCAATTTGGACCTACAGACAACTATACAACGCAGTTGGTAAGTTTCCAGCGAGCTACAAGCAATATCCAGTTGTGTTAAGTTCTCTTGCTGTAGGGCGAGCTCGAGCACCGACGGGTCAAGCGATTCTACCCAAAAGTTAACAAGTCTAGATTCACAGCTGGTATCTCAAAGCAGCAATGCCGGGAGCGGATCCTATTCGAGATGAATAGGCGTTATCAGCGCCAGTTGGAAAGTGATGCTTCAGGGAACACACGACAGGCTCCACCATTGAAGGGAGGATCACGTGAATCTCACCACCTTCAGTTTGATGAGTCAGAACCACTGTCATACAGCGACCCAAAGGCTCACTATCACATGTCAGAGAGTAATAGGAACTATATTAACCTGCCAATGTGGCTTGGTAAAAACAAGGGGGACCCAGCCTTAGAAGTAAGTTTTATTTTGAATACTCCCGCACCGTGGTTCATTGGAAACAACTGATCGTTGGCCCCATGAACAGGATTTCTTACCTCGGCTCAAAGATCATGTTCTCACCCGACTCCTGGGCCAGGCTTATGATGGCGATGAACAGTCGTTCACGTCTGCTGAGCGCAGCAATGTGATAATTTTCAAGGACCGCATCTACTGCCACAAGGTTCTGCGGGTTAACTATACAACATATGACATGCGGCGTGCCCAAGATTCTCTCAATCCACGAAACTGTGCAGATGTCATGGTCTTGGCCCATGAGGATGATGAAAGCCACGAGCACCCTTACTGGTATGCACGGATACTTGGTGTATTTCACACATTTGTTGTTCACAAGGGTTCCGGGTCCATGGAGCCCCAGAAGGTGGATTTCTTGTGGGTACGATGGTTTGGGCGTGACATGTCACACAAGTCTGGGTGGCATGTCAAGCGACTCCATCGCATTGGTTTTATTCCTCATGAGGACCCTGGCGCATTTGGATTCCTTGACCCTCATCATGTCATCCGTGCAATTCATTTGATTCCAGCATTTGCACATGGCCGGACAGATGAATACTTGCCGCATTCACTTGCTCGACAGAAGAAAGAGAATGACGAAGACTGGGTTTACTTGTATGTGAACATGTGAGTTTCAAATGTCTCATTCACGTCTGATGTTGACCTGTCGAACATTAATCATCCATAGGTTTGTTGATCGAGACATGCTGATGCGCTTTCGTGGTGGTGGTATCGGCCACAAATCAACCCGCACAGCTACAAATGTTTTCAAGCAGGATTGTGACGATCTGGATAGGACCTGTGATTTCAGCACTACGGACAATGAAGAACATGAAAATATAACTGGAATGTCAACTATTGTGTCACCAGATGACGAAATCCAAGCTGAAGATGATGAAGAATCACTCGAAATGGAAGAGTATGGATATGATGGACTTGAACAAGTGGAGGACGAGAGCAGAAGTGTGGGAGGTATGGGCGATGATATTGATGGGCCTGATCTGGAGGAAGACGAGCTAGAGTTGGGCCCGGAGGACGGTGAGGATGAGGTGTTTCCCCAGGATGAACTTGTATGGGGTGACTACGGCGAGCTCTAATCAGGCAGGCAGCCACTGGTAAGACTTTCCTTCATCAAACGTTAGTACGCAGGACTCATCGCTACAGGTTTCGTAGCGAACAGGTATTTGCCTGCCGTCGTCTGTCCTTGAGTACCTACCCCTGGTTTGCCTATGTTGGGGATTGGTTGCGTGGTGGTGGTATCGTTAGCATGTCGCAAGTATTAGCTGAGGTTCGAGCTTTGGGTGCTCTGGATGTGGCATGTTCATTTGGTATTGACCCATCCCAATAAATTTCCAATACCTCCTAATAGATTCAAGTGCAACCTTATGGAACTGCCAGTACACTGAAATCTCCAGAATTCCCTCAATATAATGGTATGCAACCCTAGTACTACCTAGTGCAATGCGTCCGAATGTACAGGTGCACTGCTGGTGATTACATAAGCTGAGTTGAGCAGAGTCCCGAGCGCCCCGACGCTGGCATTTTGGAATACATGACGAGTGGGATACCTTTTATATTATTCTCTGTAGCTATGCTATGCATGCATCTTAATGTAATGATAAACAACACTTCTGCCTTGAGCTACATGTCCGCGACAAGAATGTATCAAGTTGGATGTGGCTACCACTACTTACATAAGTATCCATACATAAACTGGTCGAGCAGTTCGGAATACACGACCACTGGAATATCCTCATCTTAATCAAACATAAAATGCCTCTGAATGTAATGATAAACAATGCTTCCGCATCGAGCTACACGTCTGCAACAAGGATGTATCAAGTTGGATGTGGCTATCAGTACTTACATAAGAATATGACACGCGGTTGGTTTTGTCGATGCTGGGGGCATCCAAATTCTGAACGATGGCGACACACCTGCTCTTCGAATCTGCGTCAGGATATGCCATACTCGAGGTTAAATTGCACGAGGAGATCGGCGCACGGACCAAGGAGGTTCAGGACTCCATAAATGACCTGTCGAAATTCAATAAAATGGTCACTCTCCTCAGTTTTTCGCCGTTCAGGAGCGCGGCAGATGCGCTGGAGAACATAAATGATGTATCAGAAGGTATGTATTTTCACCTACGTTCACTTGCGCAGGTAATTTTTATCTGTCCTCTTAGGCATTCTTAATGACCACCTCAAGTCCCTCCTTGAACTCAACCTCGCCAAAAGCAAGAAGGCATCCAAAGTGAAGCTTGGCTTGGCAGATGCTGCCCTCGCGGCCTCCATATCAGAAGCGATGGGTATCAAATGCGATGCATCAGAGCAGACACATGAGCTCTTACGGGGTGTCCGGTTACACGCCCACAAGCTTCTCAAGGGTCTCGACGACAAGGACCTCGTCAAAGCTCAACTTGGTCTCGGACACTCCTACTCCCGCGCCAAACTCAAATTCAATGTCAACCGTATCGACAACATGATCATCCAAGCCATTGCCCTTCTCGACCAGCTCGACAAGGACGTCAACCTCTTTGCCATGCGTGTTAGAGAGTGGTACGGATACCATTTCCCGGAGCTCGTCAAGCTCGTACCGGACAACTACACATATGCTCGCGCTGCGCAGTTCATAGGCGACAAAGATACCTTGACAGAAGATAAACTGTCCGAACTAACAGTTATCGTTGGTGACGACTCGACCCTGGCACGAAACATTCTCGATGCTGCCCGGGGCTCGATGGGTTCTTCCATATCAGATATCGACATGCTCAACATATCCGCCTTCGCAACACGCGTCGTTTCGATTGCAGACTACCGAAAATCGCTCGTTTCATATCTCAGCGAGAAGATGAACCTTGTAGCACCTTCGTTGACTGCGCTCCTTGGGGAACGAATAGGCGCACGGTTAATCAGTCATGCAGGGAGTCTAACAAACCTCAGCAAATACCCTGCGTCAACCGTTCAGATCCTAGGTGCAGAGAAAGCATTGTTCAGAGCACTGAAAACGAAGGGTAATACACCAAAGGTGTGGACCTTGTGTTCCACAACGTGACGAACGCTTCTCATATCTGTTTTTAGTACGGGCTCCTATATCACTCATCTTTCATTGGTCGAGCGGACCCTCGGCACAAAGGTCGGATATCACGCTTCCTCGCTAATAAATGCTCCATTGCAGCACGGATAGACTGTTATTCCGGTAAGAACTCTTCTTATACCCTCTTACATCTGCTCGACACGTGTAACAGACCACCCAACGTCGAAATTCGGCGAAGCCCTTCGAGACCAAGTCGAAGAGCGATTGAACTTCTTCGAAACGGGTGCACCACCATCCAAGAATGCAGATGCCATTCGCAAGGTCCTCGATGCTCTTGCACTGGAGGATGATGAAGAGGACGTTGCGATGGATGATGATGCAGAGCCTGTGCTCCCGCTGATCGAGGCGTCCCCAGAGCCCAAGAAGGACAAGAAGAAAAAGAAGCGGTCGAGTGACGCCATGGATGTAGATGAGGAAGACGAGCAACCTGCAAAGAAAGTGAAGTTGTCAAAGGAAGAAAAGAAAGCATTGAAAAAAGCTGCTAAAGCGGCAAAAAAGGCCGAGGCTGCGACCGATGTGAGTCACCGCCCTGTTTTACTGCTGTACCTCTGCTTATGCGAACAGCATCAGAACGGAGCTGTAGGGAAGGAGAAGAAAAAGAAGGATAAGGCAGGCAAGGAGAAAAAGCAGAAAAAGGAGGGCAAGGCATGATAACAATCTCCCCCCTATATGTCCTCTTTGGTCCTGCTGTGCCTCGCTGCCTGGTTATCGCCATGACGTCAACACCCGCGGAGTTCCTGTACACCTCGCTGCCTCCACAACGTGTGGGTATACGTTCGGTATGGATAGCCGATGTTCTTGCTTGTACACTAGTAGATCGATGGTACATCTATGGTACAATTGTGAGGTGGTATATGTTCGAATCGTATCATCACCCGGATATCAGATGTCGGATCACGGGTATCAATCACACAGCAGGCTCTCCAACCGTTACTCATGTATTTCACTCCGCAGGGATCGCCGCTTGCAGCACCACAAGAGCACTCGCGGAGCTCGATACAACCATAGCTGAAGCGACGTCTCCGATAGTCTTCCTCACCACCTCCCCGCTCGCTCCGTATTCCTCGAAAGTCGCCTTCAGCTCCTGATGGTGGCTTTCAACCGCAAGTCGTTTCGAGCGCCCAGCGACTATAAGAAGTCGCGTATGCGTTTGTTTGATAATTGCAGCCCGCTGGATCGCGGCGCGAAGTGGTGTAGGTGTGGACAACTCTGAAAAATGGATACGGGACAAGGCAGCACGGAGAAGCGAAGGAATATCGGAATCAGGGTTGAACGAAGCGTATTTGTTCCACGTCACGCTGTCCGCCGTCTCGGACTGCATGCGAGTCTGAGTGTTTGGCTGCCCGTAAACCGTGTCTGGGAACGCGGTCTAGGATATGATTTTATCAGCCAGAATCTTTGATCCAATGGAATAGATCCACATACAGATCTTATGCTGAGCGTGTCATCCCGATGAACTAGAGCCCGGAGAGTAGGGTTTTGTTCTTTTTCATGTCCATAGACACCCTCGGGCCTCTCCAAAGGCGCAGCGTCGACATCCCGCTTGATATACCTCACTACGGTCGCTGTCATCCTTGGGTTGAGGCACAACTGGACAACAAATTCCAATGAAAGCCTATCATCCGGTCCACCAAAGAAGGGGAAGAAGACGTGCTGTGAGCCACCGGCACCCGAACGATCACCAGTGTCGATGAATACAGCGACATCCGATTTGCTTTGGGCGAACACACCGCGGACGAACTGTGAGTTCATCACAGAGGCTGACTTGTCCGCCCTGGAGAGGCTGCCAAAGAAAGCTTCGAAAGGGTTGTGCTCAAATCTTGGCGACTTTGGTGTGGTAGGAGTTGCCTCAGCTTCCATCGTGTTCTGGTAGTTGGACGTAGGCGGCAACCACGGTAGGAGCACGAGTTGGGATGCATGTCTCGAAGCGTGATCAACGACCCTATGTGAGAAATCGTCGAATGGGACTACGGAGAGCGAAGTCGAAATAGCCAAGTCGTTCAACTCTCCAAACATACGAAAGATGCCAAGAAGGGGATCGGTGAATATGAGGGTGTCAGCAGCAGAAGATTTCATGACGGCTGAAGTGCGGTCGGAAAGTTCGATAAGACGCAGTGCGTCCACTGTAACCTCAGGCTTCTTCAAGTCAACCGTTTCACTCGTGGAAATCACGGAAGTGATGCCAGACGGACTCGACGGAACAGGAATTATCAGCTGCGTGAGCGCCATTGCGCCAGGAATATGCTCGAGCTTATCCAGCACAACAGTGAACCGGTAGCGCCAGGGGCCATCCTCCGCCGGAGATTTCGAATCAATGGATTCTGCTCCATCCTCGCCACCCGCAGTAGTGCGTCGCACCAGTTGGCCTGAAGCCCGCACTCGTCGCTCGGGAGGATAAAGAACAGATACAAGTGGAGTTGTCAAAAAGGTGAGCGTCAGAGCCTCGAGTACGAACATCGAGAAGACCGTCTGGGAGAGAATCCCTGCTTCCAACCCTACATTCAGCACAATCAACTCTACCAGCCTATCTTGATGATATGTCAAAGGTACACGGAACGAAAGGTGGGAACCATACCCTTTGCAGCTCATTAATGAGCCAACCGTGCTCGCTTCTCGCCATCCAAAGCCGGAGAATTTAGCTGCCAAGGTGCATCCGCCAAATTTACCCGTGAAAGAAAGCGCAACGATTGCAATCGTGAAAGCCCACGTAATACCTAATAAACGGATATTGGACTATATCAGCAATGCACATGAAACTATCAGGGGCTGCACCAACCATTGTTAAGCAACCTGAGATTAGTGTTCAAGCCAGAGAGCGTGAAGTACTGAAAATATGAGAAAAGGATGCTACAACATGGTCGTAACGAAACTTACCAGAGGAAGAAAGACGATCGATACCATATCCTCCAGCTTCTCTGTCAGAGTGATGGCAAGTCCACCTTCTCTAGGGACGACAATCCCAACCAAAAAGGCCCCTGCAATCCGGTGCCAATTAGAAGTGAATTGCCAAGCCATGATAAAAACCAACCGAAAATCGCATTCACACCCACAATATCAGTGAAGAAAGCAGATCCCCACAGAAGTAGTATCACGACCGTCATGTAAAACATAGTAGGACCGTTCTCGACACTCCCTGTTTTCCTTGCTAGCCAAAGCATCACCCTTTTGACCGGCCATAGTAAGAAGATCGCAAAAGCGACACAAATCAATAAAGTCCACAAAGCTGTAAGTCCGGAACCGGCATTGACAAGTGCAACGCTTAGTGCCAGTAATGTCCACCCAACTATGTCATTGCCGACTCCAGCAGAGAGAACGACAATTCCAACGGTGGTGTCAAGCAACTTGAGCTCCGTGAGGATACGACAGAGTACAGGGAAGGCCGTAATGGAGTACGCCACACCGGTAAACAACATGAAATACGTGAAGTGCACCGAGGGATCGATGAAGCGGTGGTACAGAGGTAATGAGAGCGCAGAGCCCAAACCGAAAGGGAGAGCAATTCCCGCCAGGGAAACGACAACCGAGAGGCGTGCATTGCGCTTGACGATACTGGCATCGATTTCAAGACCGACGAGAAAGAGAAAAAGACAAAGGCCAATGTTGGCGACGAGGGACAGATACGGTAAGGAGTCCTGAGGGAAAATATGTTGGGTAAACCCTGGAATGGCTCCGAAAGCAGTCGGACCTAGCAATGACGCGCATAAGGATGAATAGTTGAACAGATCCAATGATTAGCCTACCAAGGAGAATCCCGCCAAGAACCTCAGCGATGACCTTGGGCTGCCTTATTCTTCCCAGACCAAGGGAAAGTAACTGAGCCATCATGATGATCACACCTGACGTGCCAAGTACTCTTTGTATCTATACACCCAACCACGAGTTAGTCATGGCTCACCAACTTGGATAATCCATAATCTCAAAGGATCCGAGCTATTATATGCTGATGGGTCCTCGCCAGTCAGAAGACCACCCTGCGGCGAGAAACAGTGTTTGAGAGAAAGGTACGACAAAATTTATTGACTACACCTACTTCCCCTTGCACTGTTGCTCTTGTCGAGACTGTCCTAAATAGCTTGATTGTAGCCTCTGAAAGTGCTGGCATCGTGAAAACTGAACTCCCTGCCTGCACTGTGACCCTGTCGAGTCGTTAAGACAGGTAGAAGTATTAGCGTCACCAGGGTAGCAGTAGTCGTGCTTGTGCCTTAAGAGTACAGCAGATGAGCTGTTGACGGCAGTGGAGCAGACTTGCACATGTTTGGATCACTTCGATTTTGATGCTGACGGCTTTTGGCTGTCACCGAAGTCATCACAACAGGTATTGAAACACGCAGTCAGGATAACGGAACTGTGCCAAATTCAACGACACTCGTCTAATAGTTGGCATGTTGGCCCTGGAAGGCCCCACACCGGACGTAAAGTGAACTCCACCTTCCTAAGACCCCGACCCGAGTTCCGAGTGGCGATGGCAATGGTACAAATGACCGCTGGTCGACGAATACTGTTACGTTCAAAATTCTCAAGATGAGTAGTTCGACTTGATGCAGAATCAGGGTTGATAGAATCACGGTTAATATTAATAGTCCATCAATAGAAGCATCTTCTCCAGGGATAAGCCTTCCACGTGTCTACGTAGATATGCAAGTCACGTTGCTTAAGCGCTTAGGAACCAACTGCTCTCAAAGGCCAGTGACCGCCCTGAGATGGCTTCAGCGATGAACTCGAAGGGACAAGTCTGAGCTTTTAACCCTATAACTAACGGTTTTGACTCTGCTCAGTGTACATATTACAAACCCGAGCCCCAGGTGATTCAGAGGTGCAGATCATCCGCTCACTCCTTTATGGCCAAACTGCACCCACGCGTTGGACGTCAGGTACAAATTCGAGCATGTACCTTGAAGCTTGAAGGCTGTTCCATGAGTCCGAATCGATAGCAAAGTGAAATGCGCGTTACTAAATCTCACACTGGTTCGAGGATGGATTACCAAAGCGTCATGGAAATTATAACCGAGTATTGCTCAAAAACACTAGTCTCCCAGAGGATCTAAGCCTCAATTGTAATGGTGGGGACTTCCTCTGCGAACAACCGAGGGCTATTTTCAAGACAAGGACCTGGCAATCAGTGAATGCACAAGATTTCTTCCCAAAGCCGCGGCCAACTGCACCCCGGAACATACAATCCACCCATCTTGTGAGGCTGCTTCTGCTGATGGGCTTCTTGGGAAAGATCCACCATTTTCGATCAAATATGCAGGGATATCAGATTACACGCACCTGAGCGTCTATAGAGTTAATCTTCCACGGCGGGATTTCTACGCCGTTTCCGACCTCGTATTTTTCTGTTGTTCGACCTGCTGTTGATTTCTGTATCCTACAACCAGAGCGAAACGCGTAGAACTGTATGGACATCGTAAGTACCTCCTTGACCATAATGACAAGGGCCATCAACTACAAGAGATGAGTGGAACTCAGCACAATACCATGCACAGAATCTATAAAGAAGGAAAACAATTACAGTAACAATGCACGGCATCAACAAGGCATACACACGTGTTGTGTTACATGCCTCTCATATCGATCGAGCTAGAATGCAGAGGTTGCCGTCTAATGGAAGAGATCGCCTGATGCATCGAAGCCTGCTTCGTGGGCTTTAT